AATGGGGCACTGCCACCAATCAATGGGCCAGTGACCCCAACCAATGGAGCAGTGCAGAGTCCAAGGAATTGGACACTGCCACCCAGAAATGGCACCCAGGCCAGTTTCAGGCAGAGCCATCTGCAAATGACTTCCACTCCAAAGAGCCCATGGTTAAGGAAGAACTTGAAGGTGAAGACACTTCTTCTGGTGCCATGGGTGTGGCTGAGATGACAGGCAATGCTGGAGTCACTGTGGGTCAATCCCAAACACCAGCAGGATATAGATGGTGGCATGGTGAGTTAATCCCATTAACTCCAGAGGAGCAAAAAGCTGTCCAGGAAACTCTGAGTGGTGTCCATGAAAAACGCTGGAAGTCAGGCTGGCAAAATAGGGCAGTAATGCTCATGGCTCTCTACAACAAGGAGAGGTGGCTTGAACTAGACAGAGCTATGAAGTTGTTTTCCCAGCATCACTCCACATACCTGCAAACTCTATGCCTGGAAAGTGCTATCCAGAAGTGGGGTGATGCTGGGCCAAAGAAAAGTGGCTACCCATGGTGAGTAACAAAATTAAATAAATAAGAAAACAAACTCTCAGATATGGATGTTCTCTGTTTGGTGAGGGGTAGCCACACTGAGTAGCACAGAGCCTGCTGATGGCTGAACCCAACAGCAAAGCTTTCCAATGGCTGAATGAGCAAAAAAAAATTGAGCTCCAGGAGCTTGAAGCTTGATGAGCTGAACTCACATTAGCCCTTTGGAGGCTCATGTAATGCATTGGTTTCTTAAAAAATACCAACAAATTTCAATTCAGCTAGCTGAATTGAAACTCAAACAGTTTGCATTTCAATTCAGCTAGCTGAATTGAAACTCAAACAGTTTGCATTTCAATTCAGCTAGCTGAATTGAAACTCAAACAGTTTGCATTTCAATTCAGCTAGCTGAATTGAAACTCAAACAGTTTATATTTCAATTCAGCTAGCTGAATTGAAACTCAAACAGTTTTGAGTTCAAAAATAAATTTCCAAGCATCAATTCAAGAAATCAAAATTTAAAAACAATACCATTTTTTCTGTCAAATGAAAAAAAATGTTTTGTTTTGGCACTTGGTCACAAGTTGTTGGGTTCCAGGTTTGGTTGACATTAGCCCTTGTGGCTCAGTCATGTTTCTCATTAGCCTTAGAGGCTCAGCCTTGTGTCACATTAGCCTTTGGGGCTACAATATTCCTTCCATTAGCCTTTAAGGCTCATTATGGGCACAGGAAACTCTGCACTGATGTTCCTTGGCAATGGTGCTTTTGATGAGCCTTTGTTGCATAGCTATGGTTTACATTAGCCCTTGTGGCTCATACACACTGCTCCTGGGATGATTCTTCCCTGACAAATGCATTTGTTCATGGCATCATCAATCTCCAGGAACTATATGGAGAGGTTTGGCTCCCAAGGAACAACACAATTCCAACCACTTGGCCATCTAGGCTATGTTGCTGGAGACTGCGCTGTTGGCTGTGTGCCTTTTGCTGCTAAAGTTAGTTGCCTACCTCAAGCAGTTCTTGGAGGCCATGAACAATATGGCTTTGCTCATGCATCAGGTGGTGCAAAAGCTCGACTCTGCTGTGAGTACCTTGAGAACAATGGAACACTTAGAAGACAGCACCAACCAGGCAGTGTACTGCCAGGGTGGACAAGTGCAAGGCATATACGACAAGCTTGTGGAGATGAAGGTGAAACTGGACATCCTGGTGGAACCTAGCATTTGTATGATGGAGGAAGTTTGCCACACAGGCAGCAGCAATGACATGGCCTGAAGCTTTGAGGGGTCTCTGAAAAAGTGCTGCTGAAGACTTTGGCTGTGCCATGAGCCTGTACCTCTCTAAAGTAGCACATTAGCCTTTGAGGCTTACAGTGTGCAAGTGACACTTTTCAATCTGCCATTAGCCTTTAAGGCTCATCTTGTTTCCCACCCTCAAGAAGCACATTAGCCTTTGAGGCTTACAATTCAAATGTGAACCTTTTCAACAAGCCATTGGCCTTAAAGGCTCATACATGTTGCTTTTTGTTTCTTCCCTCTGCCTCTTTCCAAAACAGCTCATTAGCCTGCAAGGCTTTCAAACAGAGACATCTACATCCAAACACTTGGTGCTATTGGTTTCTAGGGCTACATCACAAAAGTTTGCATTCGAATCCTTCTATCCATTAGCCTTTGAGGGCTCATTCATTCACCAGCCTATGCTTCCAAGTAGCCATTAGCCTGCCAGGCTCATTCATTCACCAGCCTATGCTTCCAAGAAGCCATTAGCCTGCCAGGCTCATACAGATATTTGGAGCACTTCTGCTTTCCACCAGCACCTTCAGAAACACATTGCACATACCAGTAGGTGCTTGCAAACAAAAACAATGCAATGGCACTTGGGCTCCTAGACTGAGAAAGGACCATGGCCAACATGTTCAGATTGCATTGCAACACCAAAGGTGTCACTTTTACCAACAGCATGAATATATTAAATGCTGTCCTTTACCTCTGCTTTTTTCCCTTGCCTCTGGCAAAGCTGGCAGCCATGGCTGCTTGGAGTGTGGATGATTTCCTCAAGGAAATTGAAGACATGGAGGCCTTGCAGAAGCTCAGGCCCAATGCCTTGGCATTACCCAAGTTGCTTGAGACTTTGGAGCACAAGATCAAGGCCATAGATTCTTTGACCCCCTCCTTGCTTCTGAAGTTGACTGAAAAACTTGAAGCTTCCAGTCTGCCCACAGATTTGAAGTCGAGTTTACAAGAAGCAGTGGATCAGAAAGCTGTGGATGCTTCTGCTGGTGCCTTGAAGCTCCAGGCTGGCTGCCAGATACTGGTCTCACTGTGGAACTACTTGAGTTCGAAGGAATGGCAAATGGTTCAATCTGCACCATATGTGGAAGCTGTCCATGTATGTGTCAGCAGGCTGAGAGCAGTTGGTGTCAAGTCTATGAAAGAACAGACAAAGAAGCATGCTTTGTCCTTGCTGCTCCACCTGATGATCCAAAGGGGAGAGCCCAAGCCTCCCCCCATGGAGGTTTACAAGCTTGGCAACTATTTGCATGACTGCTTTGTTTCTAGCAAGCAGCCAAGTCTGGTGGCTGGATTTCTGAGGTACCCAGAGAAGCCTACAGATTTGGGAGATGCTTTCATGAAAGCTTGCTACAAAGAAGGTGATTACCCACAGCCAGTGAGCTCTTTGGTGGCACCTTCTGTGGGTGCTTTGTTGAAGGATGCTATTGTGAGGAACACACATGGAGATCTCCAAGACAATTCACTTGCCTTGCCAAGCAAGAGATACAAAAGGAAAACTACCCTCAGGACAGATGATGAAAGTGAGGTGGGCACGTTTTTTCGAATGATGCAAATGATGAAAGAGATGGCCAAAGGAATGGATGAGCCAAAAATTGACATCTTGACCAGGAGAAGGTCCACCTCTTCATCCGGGTCTTCAGAGGCACCAGAGAGATTGGCTTTGGCTGACTTACCCCAAGAAGCAGTGGAAGCTTCCCAGGCACAGCCTTCAGCTGCAAGTCTTGCAGCTGAAACTTTGACAGCTGCAACAATTCCTGCTCAAACCTTGGACAAAAGGACTGAGAATGCAGAGCCTGACAACACTGGTGCTGCAGCTTCTGGTGAAAGCCAAGAACCTGAGAGCTTGGAAGACTTTGAGAATCGAGCTTTTAAACAACTTCAAGCCAGAAACAAAAGGCAGAAAGCCTTGAAGCAGGACACCAAGGTCATGAAAAGACCCAGTGCTGCCAAAAAAGCATGTGTCCCTCCCAAGAAGACTCTTGGGCCAAGTGCTCTGAAAAGACCTGCTGCTGCCAAAGCAGCTCCAAAAGCAGCTGCCCAGCCAGCTGAGCCAAAGGCCAATTGCTGGGGATGTTCCAGATGTCGAGGAACTCCATCTGGATGTGAGAAGTGTGACTTCCCAGAATACAAGGGAACCAGGCTCAATGGCAAGGATGCCTGGAGGAAGTGGCATGCCCAGAACTGCAAAAAGCAGATTTGCGCTGCTTGTTGGAACTTGGGTGAGCAGATGGGGCAAAGCACCTTCTGGCCCATGCAGATGGTGATTTGATGGGGTTGGTCTGCTGAAGCACCCTGAGTCCCTGGGAAAATGAAAGCATTTGAAATTGTTGATGCTAGCAAGATTTCCCTTTTCCTGCAAACCTGAAGCCATTAGCCATCAAGGCTTCTTCAGATGTCAATGTTTTGCTTTCTTGCTTGAAAACATCCATTAGCCCTTGCAGGCTGCACTTTTTTCACATTGTGCCATAGTGCACTGTTACTTTGCTAGCTTCCTTCATGTGTTCCACAGAAGCCCTTTTGATGCTCATATATGTCTTCCAAATTAGCCTTGTGAGGCTCCTAGATGTTCATTAGCCTTTGTGGCTCAAATCTTCAAATTAGCCATGCAAGGCTCATAAATATTCACCAGCCTTTATGGCTCAAACATATAAATCTTCATTAGCCTTTATGGCTCAAACATTTGCAACATGTGCATTTATAACCTTTAAAGGTTCATGGTGAATAGAAAGCTATTAGCCACAATAAGGCTATTTTACTTATAGTCAGTTGCAACTTGAGGAACCACACCTATGATTCACTACATGCCTTGCAGCCCACATGCCCAAGGCAAGTGCATGGCTGAGATATTTGGCAACAAGATAAAATTTAAACAAGAGATTGCATTAGCATCATGGCAGTTTGAAACAAAGCTTTGGACAGCACATTCTTTTAAGACATGTTGGTTGCACTGCAGTGGAAACCATTTTACTCCTTTGTGCTATTTTCAAGTGCTTGTGATGGAAACCTCCCAGAAGGGCACTGCAACTTCCTCAAGGGCAAGTAAATTGGCAAAGTTGACCAAATTGAGGAAAAATATTCCTCAAACAAGCAAATCTGCATTGGAAGCGATTCTGCAAAACATCAAAGATGAGGGGTTACCTGAGCTCACTACTGCAAAGAATATGAGGGAAGGATGCAGAGTTGCTATGGAACAGATGAATGGCTATGGCCCATTGTTGCTGGAACACAGGCTGCATGGTGTGGATGGTAGCATCAAGAAGGTAAAGCTTGTGAATTTGCTTTCATACATCCATGCAGCTTACAGGGCAGGAGGTGGATTCCACACCTTGCTGAAGAAAACTCTGGCAAAACACAATAGCCCACTTTCCTTGCTGGTCTATGCAGATGAGGTGACACCAGGAAATGTCTTGGCCAATGTGCCAACCAGGAAGATGTGGTGCATATACATATCTATAAAAGAGTTCTCTGTCCATTTGCAGAAGGAAGCTGCATGGATGACAGTTGGGCTGATCAGAAGTGACACTGTTGCTGCCTTGGATGGCCACTTGAGCCAAATTCTGTCTGCATTGCTGGAATCGATATTTTACAGCAGCTATGGAAATGTGCAAGAACTGGGTCTGCAATTGCAGGAGCCACCAGGGCATGCAACACTTGGCAAAAGACTCTTCTTGCAGCTGGGTTTTCTTATTATGGATGGTCAAGCTGCCAAATTTTCTTGGAGCACCAAAGGAGACAGTGGTAGCCGCTTTTGTCAGCAATGTGCCAACATTTTCCAACTTGCTGATGACAATGACAATGATGCAGAAGATGGCTCCATGTCAGAGATTGCAAAGCACTGCAAATTTGACCAACTGCATTTGGTTTCTGACAAGGAAATTTTCCAGAGCTGGGACAGGATGAAAGAAAGACATGGCAATGTTTCCAAAAAAGAGTTCCAGCAGTGGGAGCAAGCAACTGGGATTAGCTTCTCACCTCATGCATTGCTGGCCAACCCAACACTCAGGCCCATCTTGAGGCCTACCAGGCAAAACTGTTGGGACTGGATGCATTGTTTATTATCCAATGGTGTGATGAACATGGCTCTTTTCAATGTGCTGGACAAGCTGGACCAATGGGATCTACTTTCTTCTTATGTGCAGCACTTTCACTTGCCAAAATCTTTGAGCAACATTAAATTGGGACCCTTGTTTCAGAGCAAAAGATTGGCCAAGGACAGGAAGCACAAGAAAATCATTGCTACTGCCAGTGAACTTTTGACTTTGTGCAGCATTGTTGCACACTATATGAGAGTGGTGTGTCTCCCAGCCAATGCATGCAAAGAAGGAGTAGAGGCCTTCTTGTCAATCCTGTGCCTCATGGACTTGCTTCAAGCCACTTGGCATGGTACAGTGGTTCCCTTGCAACTTTTGGAAGCAGCAGAAAGCAGCTTGAAGCAGTGTGTTGACTTGGATTGGAAGCTGATCAAGAAGCACCATTGGCTTCTGCACTTTCACCAAATGCTGTCCAAGCACCAATGTATTCCCAATACCTTTTGTATGGAGAGAAAGAACAAGATGCCAGGAAGAATTGCAACATTGATTCAGAACTTGAGCAATTTCGAATGGTCTGTGTACTCTGAAGTTGTGACCCTTGAGATGGAAAGGCTTTCAGACCCTGATGTGTTTGCAATTGAGCCAGGTTTGTTGCAAGCAAAGTCTTTGGCTAGGAGATTGGTTCCTTTGGCTGCAGAGATTTGGTACAGCTGGAATGATGCCAGCAGCAGCAACCATGCCAGAATCAAGCATGGCCTTTCTTCCCAAGGTGATTTGGTATACTTGACAAGTCATGATGGCAACAAGTTTGACTGTGGGCAAGTTCTTTGCTTTCTCACCAACAATCATGGAGATGATGTGGCTGTGATGAATTTGCTGCATTTGACAAAGTTGGCTGAGACTTTTGCTGAATGGGAAGACAGAAAGAGCCATGTGGTGGTTCCCTTGGAAGAACTGCTGGTTGCAGTGACTTTTGCCAAAGACAAGCAAAAGATCACAACTTTGACCCCATGGAGCTTTAGATGAAAAGGAAGGAAAATATGTGGCAGCAGTTCTTGTGCTAACAAAACAACATATTTCTATTATTAATTTTTTGGAGCCTGTTTGGGCTGAATGCTTGCTTTCATCCACATATCCAAAGGTGTGCCACATCAAAAGCCTTCAGGCTCACATTTTCTGTGGACAGCATGGGGCAATTTTTATGTTCCACATCAGAAGCTTTGGCTTGCTTTTGGTGACCATATGTGAAAAGAAATTAGCCATCCTGGGCTCAACCTTCAAGAAGCTATTAGCTGTTGCTGGCTCAAACATAAGAAACCACACTGATTCTTTGGCTTTTTGGTGTGCATGTCTATTTAAATATACATGAAAATATTCATGTAAAAGAGCAGAACTAAACAGTTAGTAACTAGTTAGCTAACCATTTACTAATTACTTAACTAACGGTATTTAATTTCCATTCTAGCTAGTTAGTATTCATCTTAATTTTAAACCTAATTCACTTAACCAGTTAGTAACCCCACAGCCCATCTAAGTATCACTATCGTACTGTGGAAGCCATGCTGCATCAGTTGGAAACAATTAGGTAGCTATGAAACACCATAAACAATGGGATTTAAACGAGAACCATCACCAACTGGTGCAGGATTTCTTTCATCCACAGTAATTACCGTGTTTCATCATATCTGGATGAAATCTAGTGACTTCACTGAGGCCTCACTCAAATGATGATTATATAACTAGTAGGGATGAATGTCCCAAAAGAGGTTTCTTTCCGGTTGGTGAAATATGATAGTTTAGCCAGGTCACTGTCATAGTAGGTCATAGTGGGTCATAGTAGGTCATAGTGGGATTGTCCTGTGATTTTTGTGTGGTTGTGGGAAGATACTATAATGGTAAATCCGACAGTGATTTATTCCTCAGTGCATCTCCATTCAGCATGAAAAGTACAAGGTGGTGCCCCGTAGTTAGCTAAGCTGGTACAACTGTTATGACTAGGGCGAATGGAAATTGTAACCTGGGCTCGTGGGGTTTACAAACAAATCTTGTACGCCCCAATGGTTGGGTGAAAATAAGCCTACCGCTTGAGTTCAAACGGCTTTTGTCTGGGGAATTCAGCCATGGTTGGTAACCACTTACCGGGCACAGTAGCCGGAATGAGCCAGCTTCAATCGGGTGCTCAATCATAATCAACAAGGAACTGGGGTGTCAATCCGTATCAAATCATGTTCAATCACACCTCTGCTTGCGGCAGCTTGGGGATTAAAAGCTCCCTTTTCCTATCCATTTTGCCAACTCCGTCATCCAAGTAGGGTGTCAGTGCTCCTGAAATGGCAACATCGGCGAATAAATAACCTTGATATACCGTGAGAAGATCCTGTTCCAAACTTCAGTTTGATGCTTTGATGGTCAAGTTTTCAAAGGGTCGTCCAGAGCTGTAAGACATTTCCAGCCATGTTTCCATTTTTGAGGAAGAAATTACGCAAGCATTATCTCATCTCATCCAAAGCCGTGTCAGAGAACCTAGTTGAATCCATCCCGTGTGGGACTGGACACTGCTTTCAGTAGTTCCCATTCTTACAGAGTCTGGGAGGAGGATAAGACCGAACTGACCAGCGTGGGCTTGGGATGGCCGGTCACACACCCACCAAGTGATATTGCTCGCAATCACCTCATGATCAGACAAATGAGAGCGTGAGCTCCGCAGCACTCAGTTTCCTTTGGTAGAACCTGGTCAATAATATTTTTTTGGGTTGTGCGCCGTGCGCCTGTTTTCCCGTGTGCTGTGTGCGGGAGGAATCTTACATGGCCACATTCTCATATAGCTCGTCACTGTGAGCGCGCGTTTTTTTCTGAATTTGCAAGATGGGTTTTGTTAAAATCCAAGCGCCCAAGTAATTATCTACGTCAAAATAATGCAAATATTCAATATGATGCACAAGTTTTGTTTGGAAAAGCAGATATGTTTTGTGTTCATAGGGTCATCACATATATATATAGATGATATTTTAGATTGGTTTTTGTTGGATCAAGAATCTGGTTTCATGTGTCCTTCAACAAACAAAAATGTTTTTACAAAATAGTATATTGCTTAGGCCGTTTTATACTTATATAATTGTTCAAAACAAGATTGCATTTTTCAAGTAAAAAGCAGATAAAATGGGTAGAAGATCCTACTAACAATCAAGATAATTTCGCTAGAAATTCAGTATGTAAATCATTATTTAAAATATCTTAAAATATCAAGAATTGATCCTGATTTTTCCTCTAATGTCTTCAGCTCTATTGTGAATACGCAAGCTGTTCACAATATAATACATAATCAATGTTTAAATGCTTATTTGGAATCTGTTTTCATAAATAGCTTAGAATTTACAATTATTAAAATCTTAAAAATCCACAAAAATATTCTTTGCTAATACAATAGAGGGTTTTACATAGTTGTTGAATAAGTATTGCAAGTAAATCAAAACTGTTGGGAACGGATAAAGTAGAAAGATGATGGTTACACATTTTACAAGTCCAGGGTATTTACATAAGTCTTTTTAAATGGATGCAGGGTATTTCTAAAGCAGTAGATTTGTGTTGATCTATAAACCAATATCAAATTTTGAATTAATACGGCCGGGTACCTTTCAAAATTCATCTATGGAATAATTGATTTGAATTCGTTTAGAACATACATCTTCCATGAAAGATTTCAAGGAAAATGTATTTGTATCTTTTACCAACAATGATGAGCTAACAAAGGTTTTACAACAATATATTTAAAATATGCAACACTTTAGACTGTGTTCACTTAAATCAATTACTTACAAAAGAGTGAAAGTACTTTATATTGTCTTTACCTGTTTTCAAATGTGGTAACGGCACCTTTTTTAGATTGCGTTAAAAATGAAAAAGCTATATTTTGCCTGGGTAGGCTTCGATCAGTGTTGATTTGTTCATTTGTCCTGAGTTTAAAAACCACATGTTGCATAATAGTTTCATGTTTAAGTAAAGCAGTATATATATAATTATATATGTGATTTGTGTTTAATTGAAACTTGTTTGTTAGATAACTTGTTTTAACTTTATGAAAACTAACTTGAGTGAGAAAAATAATCAGAATTCAAAAGCGCTAGGGTAAGTAACTAATAAAGACTTTACACATAAATATTTTTAGCATGTTGCTTTTCAAGATTTAATATTGCCATGTTAGTTTCGCTTGGAATTTCTTCTAGCGGTGCGTATACTTGTTTCAAGTAGAAAATTGTAAAGGTCAGAGGATTAATATTATTCAGAAATTGCATCTAAGATGAAGTTAAATCAAGAAAAATGGTAAAATAGAGGGTAATAAGATTACAGGAACATTATCTCAAACTGCAAGCGGAAATAAATTTAGAACATACCGAGCATTTTCTGCAGATATAGTAAAGGAATGTAAAGGAGATGAAGGATTTTGATGTAGATATAGAAACACCTCCCCCATCTTCAAAAGCCAATAATTACATTAATTGGCATGTTCATCTCTCTTGCGCCTACTTTAATTCTATCTTTATTTTGTTTTTCATAGCAATGCAAATGCAAAGTGCTGGAGGAAAAGCTTTTGTTTTACTAAATCTAAGGCAAAGTTGCAGCCTAACAAAAGTTTGAAAATTACTGTTGATGATCTGGCTGGAATAGATGAGGCAAAAGTTGAGCTCCAACGCTATTGAGAGAACATTTTCACACTTCTTGGCAGATTTCGGCAGAAGTTGCCAAAACCTCGAAAAAAAAACGGCGCAGACCCCATTTCTGGAGGCTTTGATCAGATGCCCCATAGGGTCTGCAGTTTTGTTTGTTTAGTTTTTGTTTTTTGTTTTTTCCATTGTTTTTGGCAGAGCCCATGGGGTTTGCATGTTTTTTCCCCACATCTTTGTGTGGGGTTCTTGTTTTTGATTCTGTATCCCACTCCTCGTTCTCCTCCGCCTCCTTCTCCGCCGCCTCCCTGTCACACACACAACTTTGTCACACACCTCTTTGTCACGCACCATTTTTCACACGTAACTTTGTAACATACAACTCTGTCACACACCTCTTTGTCACGCACCATCTTTCACACACAACTTTGTCACACACCATCTTTCACACACAACTTTGTCTCTCAATGTGTTTCACACACAACATTGTCACACACAACTTTGTCACACACTCTCTTTCACACACAACTTTGTCACACACAACTTTGTCACACACAACTTGCTCACACACAAGTTGCTCACACACAACTTTGTCACACACCATCTTTCACACAATTTTGTGACACACAACTTTCTCACACACAACTTTGTCACACGCAACATGCTCACACACAACTTTGGCACACACACACAACTTTGTCACACACTCTCTTTCACACACAACTTTGTCACACACAACATTGTCACACACAACTTGCTCACACAAATTTGTCACACAACATCTTTCACACACAACTTCGTCACACACACTCACAGATTGGTCACACACACACACACGCACACACACGCACAACCATGTCACACACCATCGACCTGCGTTCCGCTTGGCAGGCGTGGGTGGGTCTGGTGGCGCGCTTGGTCTGGTCGCCGCGGTCTGGTGGCGCGCTTGGTCGCCGTTAGTCGCCCGGGGCGCCGCGGCACTTTGCGTGGCAGGCGTGGCAATTGCTCACATCCACCTTCTTTTTGTGTGGTACGGGTGGCACTTGGCGACATCTGCCCGCGTTTGGCGTGGCAGGCGTGGCACTTGTGGCACTGGGCTGGGTCTCGTGGCGCGCTTGGTTGCCGTTAGTCGCCCGGGGCGCCGCGGCACTTTGCGGGGCAGGGGTGGCACTTGGTGACATCGACGTTCCCTTGCGTGGCAGGTGTGGCACTTGCAGACATCTACTTGCGTTCGGCGTGGCACTTGCGGCGACATCTACTCTACCTTTCTTTATTTGTTTGGCGTGGCATGCGTGGCACTTCTGGCGCTGGGCTGGGTCTGGCAGCGCGCTTTGGCACTTGGCGACATCGACGTTCCATTTGCGTGGCAGGCGTGGCCCTTGGGCGCATCCACCTTGGTTTCGCGTGGCAGGCGTGGCACTTATGGCACTGGGCTCAGCACTTTCACACGTGACTTTGTCAGACAGAAAACTCTTTCACAAGCCACTCTTTCACACACACACACAACTCTTTCATATGTACAACTTTGGCACACCGAACTCTTTCACAGACACCTCCTTTGTCTTTCCTTCCTCCCTCGTCCTGCTTCAACTTCTGTTTCTAATTATTGGAAGAAGTTGACTTTTGGGGTTATCCGGTCCTTTTTTTTGGTTTTCCCATAGTTTTTGGCAATTCTTGCCCCACGGGGTCTAGAGTTTTTTTGTTTTGTTTTTTTGTCACTTGTTACGACTCGATATTCGGCAGATGCTCACAGATTCACTTGCTATGATTTGATATTCAGCAGATGCTCACAGATTCAATGTTTTTGCGCACGCTGGTGGCAGCGTGTTTTGCATTCTTCCAGGTGTTTTTGTTTTTCTTTTCGTAGATGTCAACAAAAATGGCACTGCTCTTTCCAGATCTACTCCGGGGCAGCGTCCAACTATGTACTCTGGAACGACCAGTTCTACGACGACCCAGTGCCGGATATCGACCCACCCTGTGTCAAGTACTGCGCCAAACCCTGGGGGCACAGCTGCCCGGCTATGGTGTTTGTGCTGACTTTTTATATTTTAATGTGGGCAACACAAGTCAGAGCTGCCATGTAGGGTGTTGAGGATGATATTTTCTATTGGGTTTACCACATCATGATGGTTCCATCCATGCATGAGATGTTGATCCCGGTTGGCGAAAACTATTTTCCCCCATGGGATGAACCATGGCATGATGAAACCATCGCTAACCTGGGCTGAGGTAAGGGATTCATGGCATGGCAAGAGGACGGCACGGGTTTTGTGGTGCAAGTAACCACACCTGATTGGCCAGGCCTGAAGGTTTGTGGAGATGGGCTGAGGGTTGCGTTGTTTGGTTTGTTTGGCGGTGCCTGATGAGATTTTCGTAGGGTTTGATGGTTAGTGGCTGGTTCCAACAAAATGGGGTATGGCACTCACGCCAACAAAAACTGGAATGCCAAATGCCAAGAACCATCACTTGTGTGGGTCTAAAAGGGCACCCCTCATGATTTGAACGAAAGCCAACTTCGAGAATCAAGCATTGACATCAAATCCTGGACGTCCCAGGCTCCGGGGGCAGCCAGTACCCGCGAAAAGAGCAGGGCAACACTTTGGGATGTTGCGAGGCCTCAGGGGTACAGGTCCCTATGATTTGGCATCCATGAACCCATGGCCTGAGAACCTGAGTTTCTTTCTAAACTTTGGTAGAAGGCAGAATGCGCAATTTTCAGGTGATATCTCCTTGTTTGTCGGTGATGTTACGTGATTCCTAGGTGTTCCCTATGATTCCAAAGATGATTGTAGCACGTCACCACAGGTTGTTGGGGACCAACCTTAGCAGTTGCTACTTGGAGCTGTGACCCCAAAGTGCTTGCGACAGGATGACAATGTCATGGTGGCTCAGCACTTCTTCGCTTTGCGCCTCAATTCTGCGAATGACACCTTAGCAGTTCTGCAGGAGCGGAGATCGAGAGACACGCGCACACGTGGGTGAGTCCCAATGGCAATTTTAGTATGTAATTGGATGATAAGCCAGTGGATGGTAAAACCCAGGCATCCCTGGGACCAATGGCTTTGCATCCAATACGGTTTGCTTTTGTGTCAGAAAGCAATAGATGACCGAAGGTCGGTGTGAACGGTTGAAGGGCCCTGAGATTCCAGGACCACGTATAAAAATGAGTCTTCAAACTAGCAGGCCCAGCAATCTCAGTTTGACCATCAAAGCACCCACAAACTTGCAGAAAGGTGCAGCATAAATACTATGTTGATCACTTATGGGCATTTGGCATTGGAATTGTTAGAGTAAACATGTTGTTCCTGTGGGTGTTGAGTTCCGAGGCCCAGGACATTTCAGAAATTTCTCTGAGCACCCAACCAGACTGACTTATGAGGCCCTGCATCGGGCCTCCGTGGTGACAGATACCAAGAACCCTCAGTTGGTGAAGCTGACCTCAGGCACTGGACCAATATTGATTTTCTGAGGATCTGAGGGACAAATCTGGCAGAAACGCCGAATGGCTTCAGGTTGAAGCATGATCCTGTTGACCCGATTTATTTTTGGGGGACGAACATGTGGATCCTAAGATTGCAAAATTCCAAATATGATGGCTTTCTGAAACTTAGATTTTGGGTCACAAATGTTGGCCCCAAGCTTCTCAGAATTTCCCAGCCCCAGGCCCTAGTGACTTGAAGCAAGCCGCGTCGCAGCTGGGTCAACAAGTGCTGGATATCCTGGAGCCGTTCCAAGGGGACATCAGTGCCAGGACGCTTGAGCGATATATGGGGAATGGTGATATCATGGGATAATGACTACTTGTAAGGCGGAAAGGATTCATATATATGAAGAATTTCAATAACAGCTGGACTTTGAATAAATGTGATATCGTTTCAGAGGAAAATCTTTGACTTGCAAACATTGACCAGATGTGACAAGCGTGGCAGGAACAAAGCCTCAAAGGTACACTTAATTGCCAAACCCTCCGGTCTTCAAGTTCCACCCTGGCATTTGAGTCTTGGCCAGAAGAGGTGTTGCCGCTGGTCTTTTTTATATCCTGGAGGCAGAGACGAATAGTTACACTCTATAGATCTTGTGCACATGATTCAACATCACTTCAGAAACCGTGCCAGTAAACGTGTGATTTCCCCCTTTCTTCTAATGTGAGCAAAAGATTGAGAAAGGCATGTATGTGTATATACATATAATATATAGTTTATATCTATATTTAGGTTGGCATGTTTTCAATATACGTTAGGTGTTTTTACATGGATCCATTTCCACCTCTCAGGGTGAGCTCGCTGCTGGAGACGCCACTCCGAACGGCCACCTGGTGGACAAAGCCGGCCATTAACTCCACGCATGAAGGCTACCACCCAGGTCGCCTGGGCAAGGGGGAGCTGGGGTTTCCCGATGTTTCCCGATGTTTCCCGGTGAGCCCATGGATAGACTGGAAAAAGACTAGGGAATTGCCAGCTGTAAGGTGGCGCAGTCGAGATACTATTCCACAAAGACCCGCCAATTATTGCTGGATAGCCCAGCTCAAAAATACACCCTATGATTCCTACCATTTGAGATTGCAATTCCTCACCGTGTTTAAATATTATGTTTTATGGTTTTCACTCGTGATGGTTAGTGTGTGGCACACCCACATGTTGAAGCCGTAAGTTTTCAATGCCAATCTCAATGGCATTGCCAGTCAGTTCTTGCCCTAGGCTGCTGGCATGAAAGCTTGAAACCGTCAACACCTGAGGTGCAGGCCAGGCAGCCTGGAGATGGTCCTGGCAATGTGAATTTCTCATGGTTTGGCCAGGTTCGATTGCCAGAGGATATCTACATCTATCTAAAAATGATTGCTTGGTCCTCTCATGATGCTTCACTTCTCTTAAATCGTTTAACATCCTAGATACGTGTTCCATGTTTCATAAGCGCGTACACATATGATTTTTGTATACACATTGTTGTTTACATATGCATATGTGCGTGTGATGCTTATGTATGCAATATATGTACATATATGTTCCACTAATCGCATCTATTATTTAGAGATAGATAGATAGATAGATAGACAGACAGACAGACAGACAGACAGATAGACAGATGTAATATATATATATATATTATAGGCTATAGGCGTTGGAACCCTACGCCTTGCATACGCACCGTATCCAGGTCTTTGTCCTGGAGTCCCCATGTTTTTTGGTGCAAGAATCATGAGGTGGGTTTGAGCGGCCGATGGCAGAATACCACATTCAGCTTCCTGGGTGTTCCTAAAACGGACCGGTTCTCAAGGGCACGGGTGCTGTGGCTGGAGATTTTACAGGTGCAAGTCCCCATCGTGATAGCTATGGTTTTGCAGTTGAGCACCAAGTGACGATTATTGGTTGGTTGTGGCTTGCTAAATGCAGCCGAAATCTTTGGATTTTGGGGTCCATCAATTTGGGTTGAATTTTATTCTGCCCTTTGTCACCCTGCGACCCTGTGATAATCCATCAGAAACTGTAGAAAAGATCTCATTTTTTTGGAACGGCAATCAAAAACCGCCTCATTGAAAGATAGTGGCATTGACATCGCCGTTCTATCTTCAAAAAAATGGATTCCCATTGCAAGGCCAGGAGGCCGGAGGATAAATCTCTCTTCTATTGATTAATATCCCCATTTGCTACATCCCAACTGTTGCGGTTCAAATCATCCCCTTTTTTCTGCTGGTCAAATCTCCACATTTGCAGGTTGAAGCGTGTTGAAGCCCCCACTCCAGGATGGCAACCATGCCAAGCTGGGGCACAGCCTCAGTGGTCGCAAGCTGGCGATCATGAGCGACATGCCGGGGCACCCAGGACAACTTACATATCTTACATCGGTCCGTCATGAGTCATGGATAGTCACGGATAGTCATGGCATGTTTTTGGATTTTCCTTCTTCAAATTTAGTTAGACCTTGACCTGGCATTGATTTGTCAGTGGTTTCTTATTGCTCAGCCTTGCTTTCAGTTCCTTTCATCCGATTGAAGAGGAAGCATCCATTGCTTAGTGGCTGAGGAACCAACAGGGGGCCCTGGATCCCGACAATCCCACAGTGCCTGGGGCCGCTAGCGAGCTATGGGGAGCCAGTTGGGGCTATTATTTTCTTGGAGGTTCCCAACCACATATGACATATATTGACATATGATAGGGCAATGATTTGAATTTATTGTTTCTTGTAGTTATTGGGCCAGGATGATCCGTTTTGGGTTAAAAATCATGATAGGATGATCCCTAGTCTGTGTATTTTGACCTCCCGTGAAGTTCTGGGTCCATTCCACTTGGACATTCCTAAAGGTAACTTAGATTGACACAAATCAGTCCCAAACATCCCGACGCAATAATTGATCAAAATCTTTACTTGTGATTCGTGATCACCCTGTGATCATCCAAGTTTCCAAGCACTCCGTGCTTCGCAGGGTTCTTGTGACCTCTCGCAAAATTCTCGTGGTGGACTTTTTTTCGTGGTGGAGGATCCAGTGTTTCATGCGGGGCTTGTGGACTTGATGACCGGCGAGACAGCCCCACGGCAGAATGGGAGGAAAAAATGCAAGGGAATCTGCAAGAGTTTGTTGGTGATAAAGATCTCTTCCTTGGTTTTTGTTGGTCAAGGTATAAGCTGGCATTCTTTTGCATTTTTTTGAATCTTGTTGTTGGTTGGAACCAATTTCGGACGTGAAGTCGCTTGCTGTTTGCCTGTCAAGCAATGTGAAACAGCAGGGCAATGATGACTAGGTCATGTAAACTCGATTCGGATTGGGTCGACATCAAGCTTGGGAGATTGAGCTGATCAAGATATTTTAAGACTACATAAGATTGCGATCCTTTCAGATATTCCCGTGCCTGAGTCCAGAGCGCACAAAGGGGCAAAATTCCACCGGTGTCTTAAACCCTTTGTGCAAACCATATATAGTCTTTCCGCAATATGTTATTCTTCCTCAAATAATCTTCCCCAATCATGATAAAATCGTGCCCTGTATGGTTTGTCAACATGTTTGCCACATCACACCACTTTCTTTGGCCACCACCAGTTCCTGAGGCTGCTTATGTGAACGGAAAGTCTGGGCCCGAGCGGCCCGAGCGTGTAACAGTGTAGTCTGGCAGGGAAGGCCATCAGGCTTCAGGGTGTAGGCCTCCTGTTTCGACCCAACCTTTGATTTGTTCTGCCAATAATCAATGGCACACGAAAATGCAAGTTCAGCCATGTTTGTTCATGGTATAGGTAGGGGGAAACAAATGGCCTCAAAAGACCCAGAATGCTTGTAATGCTTGCATGTCATGAGAGCCAAGGCAAAAACCTCAGTGTTTTGGTAACCTCACGGTCAGCCTCACCACCACTGACCAGTAAAAAAGACGTTATATACATCTGCAGGTAAAAATCCCTTATAGTTGGTAAGTTTTCCTGCAGAGTCGCCACTCAGTGATTGAATTCGGCTTGATCCAGAATCTTCCCCCGTCAGCGTTGTTTTGTATAAGACCAGCCTAACAGAGGGGCTCATCCCATTAAAGACGTTGTTGTACGTGTTTGGTTCTTTCTCTCCATGCCACAACTAAACAATCGAACTGTGACTGCTAAGGTCGGGCTGTGGCTTGGCTTGGCTCCGCAGGGATGCTGATGTTACCCTCTGGGGCCTCTGGGAAGCCAGGGTCCATGTAGTTATTGATGATTTAGTTTTTGAAACCATCCCCCCTTTAACCCTGGAATATTTGGCGGGGCAAGGCAATAAACTTCTGAGAAATATTTCACCTGACCACATGAAATATACAGGCCCCCCACGAGGTTTTTTGGTTTCCAAAAGAGGTGGGGGGTCCTCCGGATGCCAGACTTTAGCCTAGATATGTCAATTTGATACACATAGATCAAAAAGCAAACCGTGCATGACCTCTGCGAACTCCTGCCCCTGGCCTTTGAAGAGATTCAGGCATGGAATCATATCGCTGCACTGGAATTTCTGGGGGGGTGGCTTGTAGAGCTGTAAAAAACAATGGTATTGCACCTCCCCGCCGCAAAAATCGAGCAAAGCTTGGGGAGAGAAAAACACATGAAAATGAGCACTTCAGCTGGCTTACACGTACCTGACCAACATCCACAGGTGCCCGTTGATGCATAACTGACAGCGCTAAGACTTTCCATTGCTTTATCCTACTGTATATCAATCAGAAATTTCTAGCTGGAATATTTTTAGGTGTGGGGGGATTTGAAAACTTTTACGTTACTGGATTTATTTTTCGACTAACATTTATGTGTGCAGGAGTGTGTTTAAAGAGTTGGGGGTGGCCGCCTTTGGTCCTGTAGCGACCCCAGATCATCCATCTATGGTGTAGCTACTTCCATACGGGAGAATATATGGAGGCCGCCAAAACCAAGTTCAATACAAAGACACTGTACTGTAATGAGTGGATCATTTGGGGGTACCCTCCCTTTTAGGAGACGTCCATTTGTGAGCCAGCCACAGGTTTCAGTTCCCAACCGGCCAGGCATTATAGCCCTCAAAATAGGTCAGAAGAGAAGGGGTTGGTCATATTTTATTCACATGTTATTCACATTTTTTATGCAGGTATGACAGAGTCTTGTAATTTGATGTAATTAACAAATTTGGACCCGCACCCTCCAGCATTTTTGGGGCACCCACTGGCCTGGATGAAGCGTTCCTGCTCAGGTGGTGGTGCGGGCATTCTTTGGACGAACTGCAAGAGGAGTGACTGCAGATATGTGAAGAAGGCAAGAACGGTGGACTTTGAGGATGTATGCGCATACATAATACATTATACGTTCATAATTATATTTATTCAGATGTGTGCAATAAAAAAATATAAATGTATAAATATATAGATTTGGTAGCGTGATTTTGCGTACATATATATATATATATGTATAGTCATATGTGGTCATATGATATCATATGTGTGTGTGTATTGTTGTGTGCACTTCTGTGGGAACAAACTAACAACAAATCGGGGTAGAAGCCACAAACATTGATCTTTTATCAATCAGCAAAATGGACATGTTCACCAGCCACCCCCAAAGAAAAGATAGATTTGCATGTTCCACGATTGTGTTTTTTGTGAGGGGATACCAGGCTCAGGCACCCGCGTTCCACTACTTGATTATCCATATTATCCCACATAAAAGCTCCAAGCGCTTTGTCCGATAGGAGGGCATCCGAAATCCCTTGGTTCATTTTGGAGAAAAACACCGCATTGGAGAAAGTTAGGGATACATTCTTCATGTTTGGACCCAAATGTCTCACGTCTTACATGTCGCTTTCCAGGCAGATATTGCCCTTTGCAATGTCACCCAATGGGGCTGCTACAATGCGACTCAGCTGCCCCAAGATTGCCCGCGGCTTGGCAGCCTATCTGATGTACGTTCTCGCCATTATCTCCTCGCATCTTCTCGCGTATCTATGCGATTGTATATGTATACATGCATGTGTATGCATACATGATATATATATATATATATATGCGAATGTTCTTCCGCATGTTTATACTTGCAACGCCTCAAACGAGAAAAGTGCATGAGACTTCTAGGACATGCCTCATACACCTCGAAAGTATCACCTGATAAACTGGAGGGCTGGAGCCCGCCTTGAGCGCATTTACAAGTTCGAAATTACGAATGGATGATGACAGACCAAAAGGATCAAAAAGACATGGCTAATTTACTAATTCAATGTGGTCTTAAGCGACCTCACCCTGAATGATCGTATAAGATGGGAATAACCATTCAGTTTGGCTTCAAATCAGGTTGGGGATCAGTTAAGACATCAAGAATGCGTTACAGCCACATAACTAATTGATGCCGTACTTTCAGAGATACCTTTTTGTTGGGTTGCGCGCTGTCACCTGCGCTCCGCACACCCACCAGTAAGCCTCCATGAGGACAGACGACGTAAATGAACTCGAGGCGTGAGTGTCTCGCTGCTGGAGTTGCACGCTGGTGCCAGAGACTTCATTCTTCCGTCACTCATTCCTCCTTGGCATTGTCATTAATGCATATTAAGGCCTGCAGGCTAGTGTAAACGGGAATCATTGTGAAGATTTGTGAACGTTCAATGTCTACGATAGTTTTTGATTGTTTCCTTTTTTTAGGGGAGCGTTGTTGTGGTTAGTTCCGTTGTTTTGTGCTACGAACCATTCATGGACGAAAATCAAGACGATAATTACTCAAGTCACCATTGGTTTTGTTGGGGCAGGGTGCTGACATATGTTGACCACATCTTGCAAGAGAAAGCCACATATTGAAGTCTTTCCACGCTGCCTGGGATAAGCTTTTTGCGGAGGGCCTCCCATCCAACTCACACAGCTCCACCAGCGTGCAGCTTCGTTTCATGCCACCTCGCGCCTCATGAGATTAACAAAATTGCTTCCATCAGCAGAGTTGCAGGGTTCAAGTCCGATGCATCATGAGATCTCCAGCGACCACGTGGTTTGGACAAGTTTCTCCACTTTCATGCGCGCCAGTCCGGAAATGGATGTCCAATTCCATTGAGTGTATTCGATAGGTGGTCGGGATTTCGACTCCTGCAGCTCGCACTGTCTGATACTGATGAGTTGCCACTTTCTTTCTACTTGGGTAGTGTTAGCTTTGCGAAGCAAATTCACTCTCTTAGCAGCTGTGGTGATGGCGTGCCTGCCCCTTTTCTTGGACAGAAGTTCAGATGAAGCAGCGACATCCTTAAGGCTCACTGTAATGTGGCTCTGAGTCAGATGGCCATCCCATCTAAAGTCTGTTCTAGCAATATCTTAGGGCTTAGGGATGTTCGAAATAGAATCCATATTTCCTCTTGGTTTTTATTACTTAGTAGCGAACCGCCCGGCAAATAAGTTTAAATATCATCCCACAAATGCACTGGACATGCACGGCTAGTAAACACTATCACATACTATCACTAAAACGCAAGGAAGTGGCACCCAAATACGTTTGGAGCTAAAACTTAACCCAAAAAATCCAGGAACCCAAACCCACTAAAGAGCCGCTAACCAAAACAAATCCAGGAAGTGCAAACCAAAATCTCCTTACAACCCAAATCTGTCTGGGTCAACCTTGGTTAGATACTTTAGTACTTCAATGTTTGCTACCAATGGTAAAATGTACAAGTAACTAGCCAAAAGGTGGATTTTTTTGTCAAGTATCGAAGATTCACTATGATCTATTGAAAAAATCTGAAAAAGATTTTGACTGGCCTGCCATTGCTGGGGCCTCAGCTCCTGAGTCGATGACTTGGGGACGCAACTGTTACTGCAGGCTGCTTTGGCCTTGCAACTGGGTTCATATTGCTTTCCTGAAGATTTGGGTTGGGCATTTTGGAGCAAACTCCCATGTTTGGAATGGATCCAAGATGTCTAAAACGGAAAAATCAGAGGTAGCGCCCGCAGTCTTTTTTCTGGAAAACCTATGGCTTCCTGTCTGGAGATGTTCCCTGCATGGCCCGGAAGTTCCATTTGGCTTTGACTGGTATGCAGTGGGCACCCCCCGCTGGTTTGAAGAGGGAAATAGATACGATTTGTGCATCGAATAGCCGACATGCTCCAGTTGACCTGTGTGGACATGTGTGGACAATGTGTAGAATTGTCATTACGGGCATTATAGCGCTACCAACTGCTCGAATAGATAATATTACTTGTGTATAGCTATGAAGGGAGACTAGCTCCAATGCACCCGCAGAGACAAGCTTTAGCTTGTTGTCAGATGCCCGTGCATATCTGCCAGCTGAGTATAATATGCTTGGTGCTCTTGGGGAAACCAACCAACAACAGTCGTCATAATGCTAGGTATCTATACATTATATTATATATATGTGTGTGTGTGTGGATAGATCACTGCGACACGTGTGCTTTGTGGTCTCTGTCGCAAGTGGCGTAGTAGAATCCCAACCCTGGATTCCCAAACACAGGCTGATCAATCAATAGGGTTTACGCCCAAGAACTGATAATATGTCAATAAGTTGAACCACAAATCAAATGAGCCAGAGTGTTATCAATCCAGAGTCCAGAGTTAGCATTCACTAGTAGTTTCATGGTATCCCAGTAAGTCCCATTGTTGAGCTATACCACACTTGATATTCGATTATTTTCATATTTACTTATTTATATATCCTTTAAAATCATGGAAATGCCTTTGTCAGAATCCACCATATACCCATCCCATTCAATCTCTCCGGGTGCCGGTATTGGTTGGACCCGAGCGCCATTCAGCTGAAGCTCGCAGCTGGCAGATCTGCCGCCGGGAAGAGCCCCAGCCAGGCTGTCCAAAGCCGGGTGCCACCGCTCCGTGTCGATGGCTGAGACAAAAGGGCGCTTGTACCTGTATCACACAGAGTCGGCAGTCTGAAGAACTTAAAGTTTGTTGATGTTTTGTTTTTTCCTGTTAATGAATGTTAATTGGGATCATGATAAGCCATGAGCTGGAAACCCTTGCCAACCATCACTTGGAGGATTTTCCGCTAGGTTTGAGTTGTGCTGAGATTGCTTCGGAATCAATTGATTGATGGCAAATTATCAGGATTGGACGTGATTGGATGTGCACGTCGTGCATTTCTTGCATGCCATATACTGTATGCATCTACAAGAGTAGGCAATGCCACACTAGGCTACAAAATACCTGCCCTCAGAGTGCCAAATCCAGTCCCAACATGCCCACAGAACTACCTCAAGGAACGGACTCAAACATTTTCGACACTTTTCTATGCTCAAATTAACCCATCATGGGCACCCTACTTATCTAGTCCCTGTAGTAAGGTTCCATAGCCTGTCACTCCGTTGCACGATTTACACAACATCTAAATACACACCACTATATCCTGAACAGTATGCCCCACATGTAGATTTATATCTTCCAGTCTTTTATATTAGGGATAATCTACTTGCAGGACCGACTGGAGTGACTTAGCAGATGCCATCAGGGTACTGTAATAATTCAAAACGTTTGGCGGCGTCCACTCATTGCTGGATGTTATGGCTCATGCGGCAGCTGTGACACGCTTGAGCTCAGCATCAGCAACCCCCCCGTCGCGAACACATGTCTTTGTTGTTGAAGGCGTGCTACAGGTATACAGTTTGACACCAAACCCTTCCGCCTTCAAGAATCCAGCAATGTTTGGAGCTCATGAATCCCCAAGCGTCTGCGAAAGATGTTTGTGAATTGCCCGCCCTGAATTTTGAAAATTGCTAGAGTGATCCAACTGAAGTTTGCAAAAATTCTTTGGAACTGCAACCAGTACCGACAGTGCCTCCCAACTATACGCAGCGATGCATGCCCCCAAGCCCAAGTGAGCCATCAGGTCCCGAGGTCCCTCGTCCATTGCGCATCTCTGTGCCCAATGATGATCCAGTGATGGCCCAGCATGGCGGAAGCAGTCACCAGGCGTGGGGCAGTGTCATGCATGTCTCGCAAATACAAAGATAAATCTCTCTTAAAACATGTGCATTATATATATACACATATAAATATATATGCATAGTAAATGTGCAGACATATGAACATGGTATAGATTTGTTTAGATATATATATATATACATATACATGTATATATATATATATATGCGCAAATACCAATATTGAGAGTTCTAGAGACGAATGCCAATAGAGAAATAGATAGATACATAGCTTGACAGACAGATAGGTAGACAGACAGACGGGCAGATAGATAGATAGATAGATAGATAGATAGCTTAGATAGATAGGTAGATAGGTAGATAGGTAGATAGGTAGGTAGGTAGGTAGATGGACACAAAACCATTGACTCTTTTCATGCCCCTGGACTTTCACAAAGAAATGATCCTATTTGCCAGGGCTTCGGCGTCAGATGCGGCTGGTGATTGGGTGCGTGTGGCCGACAGCCACTGGGTGACCGGAAAAAAAACCTTTGGTAAATTAACATCACCATAGAAAATGGCACATGTTTGCAGGTAAATAATCTCTAACTTGGCCATCTTCCATAGCAAATTATTAAGAATAGGTATAGTAATCACAAAAAAGGTGCCGACAATTGTGTCAGTGTCCAGGATGGTAGTTCGATACCTCATATTTCCAGGTTTCCGACCTGTCTCTATCTATCCGGGGATTGCTATACATAATCTATAACTGGGCCGTGTTCCATAGCTCTGGGCTCTTGGTATTGTTGCAAAATTAGCGTTAGTATGTTCATTGCTAACATGTTTGTTGTTTTGTTATAGTATTGCCAGTATTATCGGGTAGATGCCAGCGGTTCATTAATTGGTTAAATGGCTGATGGTCTAGTTTTTGTCAGTTGTTGAATAGAGCAAAGTGATCCCACAAATACGTGTTTTTGATGAAATACATACTGTAGATTATTGCAATATATTTTCACTTAGGTATACACACTCATACACATTCAATGCAATGTGGATCTCTTATGTATTTCCATTTTTAGCTCAGCAGTGTGTGTCTTTGCTCAAGGATGCGCTCGGTTCCCCGCCGTCAGGTCAGGCACTGGCTGCGAAGGAGCGGCTCCATCTGCAAGTTGAGGGGCGCTATGTCTCCGTTCTCCGTGGGAAGGCTGGGGCCTTGTACCTTGGACCTGAGGGATATGGAGGGCCACTGGTAGAATCTCCTGGCAACTGGATTTTTGTTTGTTTATTTTGTTCAAATATATATATATATATAGATGTATATATGTATTTATCTAGATCTACACTATCTTTATATATATATGTGTGTGTATTAAACCTTTTTTATATTTTACAACACATGAACATTTGTTTACCTATATCTATATGTATATACATATATACACGATATATATATATATATCTATCTATCTATATATATAATATATGATATATGTATATATATATAATTATATATATATAATATTTTTTTTAATTAAGTGTACACTATTAATATATTAATACTATTCTTAGTTCAAATATTTGTTAACTATTTTTTGCTTATTTTATTTACAAGTCTATTTTCATATATATTTCACGGTATGTGTATATATATATACATACATGTGTGTGTGTGTGTGCGTTTCATCTTCTGGAATGTTTTCTATATGACTTATAGTTTTGTTTTATGATGTGCTGGTGTTTCTGGAAGAAATTTGGGAAAATAGGAACATATGAACTTTGACTTCTGCGCTCATGTTTTGTCTCCCTCGGCTTTGTGCTTTCTATACTCACTAGTTATGTTAGTTATGGGCCTTTGTCCAGGCACTGCCTCGACTCCATTTGTTATCATACTGGTGGCCCGCTGACCATCGGTGACATTGAGGACATCAATGGTTCCTTGGCACGCAGAAAGAGGCCTCCGTACTGAAGATCCACTTAAACTTAGTGTCCCTAGGTAAGTTGTAAGGGGCATCTTGCAATTGGGCCCAAACTTGAATTGCGATATTCGTTGTTGTATGTGATCATGCTTGGGTTTTAACCACAGTACCCAGGCTGCTGTGACAAAAACCAAGAAATCAACAAAGAAAAAGTAAAGTAACATGGTCAGTGCAACCGACACATGCCAGACACGATTCAAATCCAAGTTGTTTCAGCTTTGGTTTCAAGGACCAAACATGACCAAACCTTGGAAACTAGATGAAAAATATCGTGTTCACATTTCAGGAAGTTTCAGCCGGAATAAATTGTAACTACCTTGCTAGACATGACGTTTAGCAGCTGCAAATGCACTAATTATTTATAATTATATCAGGCTGGTGAAGTATTGAAGGATTCCCATTCCTCTAATAATAAACACGCCATCAATGGTCCCAAATATGTGGTTTCACCCCGCTATACTTGGATGTGCACCCAGTTAGTAAGTGGTTTATAATCCATGTATAATCCATTTAATTCCATGTGTAATAGGGGATATTCCATATATATATATACCTAGGGTTATAGCTGATTTACTAAGTGGGATGCGCCCCCAAGTACCAGCGCCAGCTCTGAGGTGAGCCATGCGTGAAGTGCCCCTGGCATGACTACCCGGTGCGCCTCCACGATGGCGCCAAGCCCTACCAATCCATGAAGTTTGATCCGGTGACCAAGCGCCATGGCTGCAAGTGTAACAGCGAGACTACCAGGCATAATCGGGATACCACATGTGGGTGTATAAATGTAATTAAATGTATACATGTATATATATATATATACATATATATATATATTTATTTTTTTTTAAAAAAAATATTTATTTATATAGTATGTATCTGTATATTTATCAAAATTTATGTGTTTATTTACTGAGTTTATCTAGTTTATATATTCGTTTGTGTGCTTATTTACATTTAAATTTATATATATTTACAGTTTCGATATAGGTATATATCCCATAGGTATTTTTAAATACAGATATAGATGCATGTCGTTACATATGGGATACAATGGGAAACAAAGAAATGTGGGTTGTATGAGTTTATCCAGAAATCCGTGAAATATATACCCCAACTTGTGGCCATGAAGTAGTGGCGAGATGATGTTCTAGAACCATAAGGTTCTGAGCGCCCTATTTTCAGTCAAACCCATGATAGGTGAAGCTGACGCAAACAACGAGTCATGGAGTGGCATTTGCAGGTTGGCCAGGATAAAGCATCATGATTTCAAGGATTAACATCAATAACTTGGCTGTTTGAAGAGCACATTGCTCTCGAACAGCCTGATACTAGTGCTAGTCACACATTTGTGAGCATTTTTCGTCATCTTCAGCCAATCGTGTTTTTTGAAATAAATAAATAAATATAAATATATATATATATATTGATACGTATATATAGTATATATATATATTCATATGTATATTTATATTTATATATATATATTTATGTGTATCCTGTCGATACTGCTTCAAGACAGGTCAGAGGAGAAGCTGCCTTCTTGCATGCCAGATCACAAAAGGATGTAGCTAGTCATCTCCCACGGGAAGGCCCTATCAAGCAGACCTGGCACAGATGGCTGTCGGGTAAGCAGACTGGTTGGTGGTTTGGTCAATGCTATTTGGCTTTCATACCTTTTTGGCGTGGCAAAAAAAACACTAACCAACCTACCAGAACTAAGGGAAACATTACAGACATCATAGGAAGCCTCCACGTTTGGAAAAACCCTAGGAAGCTGACGCCGGACGGCTGGAAATTTACCAAAAACAGCCAGCGGAGCCATGAGATTGTGGACCGTGGTGAGGGCCCAGAACCTTGGAATTCTTTCAGACTGGGTCAGCGTTTTCATCCGCATCAAAGACTTGAAGGTTCATGGCACACCATCATGTGCACCTGGCGCCATTTTTCCGTAGAAATTGTTGTGGATATATAGAGATTGCTCCAAAAGTGAGCCAATTCGTAGCCTGTGGAACAACGTATGCATTTGTGTTGTTGCATGTCGCTGCCAGTTGGTGCATCGTAGATTTACAACAGCCTTTTGCAGAATCGCTTCCACCTGAAATCGGTTTGCTAGGTCCCACGGTTGAGATCGCTGAAGTCACCCCAGCGATTAGTAAATCTCTGGCCACCTACACGTGTGATGTGTGGGAAGATTCAGTCCCTTGCTGTTCCTGTATATAGAATTTCAACCCTGGATCAACAAACCTACCATTACTGTTCATCATATCATCCGACGTTCGTTCCCTTTATCCACTACCCCTTGAACTGTCTAGGACGGAGGGCTCTGGGTTCGACTCAGCACTGGTGGCAAGTGTGAGAGCGATCAGTTCGCCTACAACGCCAGCGCTGCGAAGAATGTTTGGAATGGTTCTTTTAGCTGCAAGAGCTTGGCCCAAGTTGGGCATTGGTTTGTGAGCCTTCCCCAGTACTCACCTAGAGGTATATCATGGTTTGTTGATTGACTTGCATATCTCTTTTTGACATGTGCCTTCTCCAGCTGTGTGCGTTTGGTGGAGATATAAAGACATGTATATATATAAATAGAAAGGCTTATTTCACGATATTTTCAAAGTGACCCAGTGGAAGTATGCTTCCAGACGTCAGAGTACGGGGTGTTTCCACTTGTGCCTCATAGGTGGGCATAGCACATGACTGGTTGTTTGCAGAACCCTTCCCTCGCCTGCAAACAAGCGCTAAACCATGACAAAATGGCCATGGATGTTAGTCCCAAAAATGAATCATCAACGGAATTATCATCCATTCAATAAACAAACAATCCCTACAATAGTTCCAAACATCCAAAATTGGATTGGCTTCAGAAAGCTTAAACATTCTAAGCAATGATTTGTATACATTCTGAACCGCGTTTTCCTTCCATGTTTCAACCGTTCTAACATCGGAGTATGCAACGCACACTCCAAGGTGATAGCTCTTTCCGTCCGGACGGAAAATCCGATCCAAGCCCGCACGGCTACAAGCGCAGTGGCGAGGTGCGCGCCAAACAAAAAATGGCAAGGGATTTCAAGCAGCAAAAATAGGAGTTTTTAATGACCATTAGGAATGGGAAAAATAGGGATTAAAAATAGGGATTGGGTAAAAAATAGGGATCCAAATGGGGTGAAAAAATTTAGGGGTTGGGTTAAAAAAAACTGGTAATAGCCATTAGGATCCAATCATGGGATATTTGTTTAATGATCACCGGGGGGATGGGTATGCATGATCTGATAACCACTTGGGAATTTGGTTGATTAGATACAATTAATAATGATAGAAGATTCTGGGGTAGCCCTTGGGGGGATAATTCATAAGTATGATTTACAGTAAAGTGTTTTATCTCCTTGAGAATGAACCCGTTTAATCTGATTTGATTGATTGTTTTTGAGGGGATGAGTTGTTTTAATTTGATGAAACCGAACCCCCACCATGAGATGGGGATGTTTGAAATATGGTTCGATAAACCGCAGCAATTGCTGCAGATGGAGATTTAACATGCGTAAGAACCGTGAACTGGAATAGAAACACAGCAACATGAGGCAACAACGGTGGTCTCTTGGCTAGTGGTTTAAGAACTGTTTTATTTTGCATCCCTTCCTGGCATGATACCACGCCATCGCTACAGTAATACTTGCGAATGGTTTGAAACCTCCAACCGGAAATGTTCTTTCCAAACATAAAAATTCAGAGTAGCCCCAGATCACAGGTAAGGAGTAGAGAAACTGTGCATTCCGGCCATGTGTAAGGGTAAGATATTTGATCAGACACAAATCCACCAGGTCGGTATATGTTCGCTTTGAAAATATGGAGGTTCCCCATTGCCCTTCAGAGCTTTCAGAAACTACCAACAGTTTCTTGCCTTTGCGCTCTTGCAGGTGCTGGCAGAGATTCGTTCTGGGAAGGCTTTGGGGCCGGGGGCCTCAGATAGCTCACCTTGGGCCCTTGCCAAGTTGACCTTCCCAGCCAGTCTGCTGAGGGCCCCTCCGCCCATGAGCAGTTCGGCAGTGCAGATGCATCCCACAGAGTGGCGACCCTTTCGGATTCTCAGTTCCTTGGTTTCAGGGTGCTGGTGTGGGGAAACCTGAGATGGATTTAGTATGAGTTCATGGGTTGTGGAGGTGTGTGTTCGGTGAAATCGCGAGAAAACGTGAGAGAAGGACCGCTTGTGGATGTTGCTGTTGACTCTTCAAAGTCCCAAGATTTGGAGCCATTGACACCTTTGGTCGCTTCTCTTTGAAAGTCATTGAGAAAGTAAAGTGGAATGATATAAATCGCGCAACAGGTTTGTAATATCACGCAGGTTGGAATCATCCAGACAACCCGCCAATTTCAACCATGATCAGGTGATCAACTCAATGGTAAACTCCAGGTAAACGATGCCCAATTTGACCAGAATGGCTTGTGCATGTAAACAATCTGGTTTTGGACTGTCACCAACCCTCCGCAATCCGACATGGGAAACTCCACCATTTAGTTCGATGATGCTCCAGTTCAGACCCATTTAATTCAACAATTTCCCATCTAGCCATTTTTTGATGACACGGGGGGTACACCACCCAGCCGAGGTAAGAAACAGATGACACGCAGCATGTGGCTCTTCCGTTTCGCCCTTCCCGAAGGTCAAACCCTGGCGCCACCTGGTGCCCGCTGGGAAGTGGAGCGACATGTAGCTCAGCTGAGTGGCAGAAGCATGTCAGTGGAGGGTCCACGTGCACTACCTGAATGGATCTACATACACATATATATATATATATAATATCACTCTTTTCTGCATATACATATACACACATATATATATATATATATATCAATGATATGTGGCCAAGCTCGGTGAAGGGTAGTTTGATGGCTTATTTTTTATTTTCAGAGTTTTCCAATGATTGGTAGTTCGCTCGGCACATGATCTATATATATTTTCCATGGCGGACGTGTATCGTATATATTTTTTGGTGAGAGAGCCGTGGTTGGGAACCACTTACAAAGAGGAATGCCCATCCAAGTGCCAAGTTGGTTCCTGGGTGATACATGACCACTTGCATACATTGTCTAACTGTAACTGGAAAATAAAGCTTAAAGAATAATTATCATTCCAGCATTGAACTCTAAGATGTTCCCTGATCAACCATTCCATTCAGAATAATTCCATATAATTCCTAAGGTCAACCCCGGATCAATAAACCACCATTTGTCAGTTAGGGGGTGGTACTCTCCAATGAAATCAGGTGCGGCTCCGTTTGCCTGGGCATGGGCAGCAGTTAGTACGGGCACCTTGGAAGCACTACCGGTCTGGTGCAATGGCCGGCATGTTTCACAGTAGCCGCCTGGAATTTAACGACATAGCCATGGAAAATAACTTTTTTTTTAGCGGTAAATCATCTAACTAGTTGGAATTTTCAATAGCTATTAGATCTAAATATGTTAAATTTCTAGCGGGTGGACTTTGTAAGTTGATGGACCAAGATGCCCTTGGAGAGGGCGATGACGATAGAGCGATAGAGAAACGGTGCTGTTTGTCCAATGTGTTCGGGGAGGTCCAGTTGCAAGCAGTCCTGGTGGCCTCAAGTGCTTAAGACATTGGTTTAACATGACCACATTGCATTAAGCAACACAGTGTCAAGCAGCACTTTCTTGTATGTTGGAAGCTGGTGGGGGCAGATTCTGCAGGAAAATGCACAAAAACCGGCGAAAACCACTCAGACTGTCATTTCAGCTCCATGAAATATACGCGTTTATCATTTCTTTCCAGATAAACGGAAGCACCCAGCTTTTCATGGTGAGAGCCCAACCTCCAGAGCCATTTCCAGGGCACTGGCTACCAGGAATACACCCCGGTGTCGCCCCCGAAACGTCCTGGGAGCTTTGATTTGGCCATCAAGATCTATGAAGAGGGGGCGATGAGTTCCAGACTTGCGAGGCGTCGTTTGTTTGGAGTTGGGATGTTAGGCTGGAAGATTGGCTCTAGGATTGCCTCTTCCAAACCCAACATGATTGAAAGGAAACTTGGCAAGAGAATCAGTTTCTTGGAACCGACCCAGGATGTTGTGTAGATGTTGGGTCGTGTGATGTTTGCTCTGCCTCCAGGTTCATTTTTTTGCCTGGGCCGATCTCAAACAGATACACAAGTGCAATATCAGATGCAGTTTCGGGTGAAACAATAGCTTCACAAAATATCCTACAAATACCTGGTTCGTGCTTTGAAACATGTTTGTTTTCTCCCCTAATTTAAAGGATGATACAAATTGACGAGCATTTCTATGAAACGGGTTGAAACCATCAACCAGACACATGCTCATAGAGGCCTTAGATTCTACCATATTAGCGTCCAGTAGGCTAACATAGCCAGGAAAAATGACCCATTCATTGTCATTCATTCATGATTAAAACTCTGAAAAAAAAGGTGGTTCCCATGAATTTCCATTGCTATGTCAGTTAGAATAACCAGGGCTGACCAGACAGGATGGCGCCGGGCCAAGTTGTCGAGATGACCGGTTTGCATGGAGATGCTTGGGTTCAACGCCGGGCAGGTGGGGTTAAAGCGCCCCCAATCTGCTACCCAACAATTATTAGCAGCTGATACGTGTTGTAATTGGTTTTTAATCCTGTATAACTGATCATGGAACGTTATGAATTGATGAAATGGTTACTCATCCCAATCTTTTACCGGCTATCAACTAGGGGTAAGTACCCAAAACAGATGTGCGCTTGCTAAGTTTGGATGGCATTGGTTTCACCACACCTGTCTACATCTTTCTGGTATTCGTCAGGGTCCGTCCTGAGAAGTTATACTGGGCCTTTTAAATCACCAGGTCACATCTGTTCCGCAGGTTTGGTGCAGATGGATTTATGTGGAATGGATTGGGTTGGGAAAATGCACCTTCTTTCTTGGGAATATGTCAGGTAATCGACTTGGCTAGGTCGGTTTCAAGTTGGCCTTTCATCACGTAGGATAGTGGAATTTGCTTGACTTTTCAAGGCTAGGCGTTTTTTCCCATTGTTTGTTTTACTCTATACCATACACTTTCCCTTCCAAAGAAGTTTTTGTCAGAGATTTCATGGACTGGCATGCTCCCAGAGTTCAAGATGCTTACATTACACATATGGTTTTCCTTGGTTTGCTGAAGATCAGAAGTCACATGGTGTTTGATTCCACCAAGGTTCATGCCCAATTGTGATTTGTGGCTCGCGCTTTTGATGGTTTTGTTCAACCGCTTACTTCTCCGCGCTTATTCCATGGGATGTTTTTTTCTCAGATATGATGTCTCCATCCCTATTGATGGTCCCCGTCCTCATTGATGCCGATTGACTCATATTGTTCTGATGGGTTGGGATAATTCTCAGTTGGAGTATCTCAAGTACGAACGACGACTCGGATCCTAAGTTGGGAACGGTTTCACATTATTTTCCCCTTGCTTGGGATCATGATTCAAAATGAATGTATTGTTACGTTTTCGCTCTCACAGGGGGGTGAGAGTTCCAACTTTCTGGGATGCTGAACGCTCGTGGCCACCCCCTGGTGAATTTCAACATGTTCCACAAGGACTACACCATCTCTTGGCCTTCGCGAACAATCTTCAGGAGAGGACTTGAGTTTTTAAGCTACACATGTGGTGATGTGTTTGAGTCCAGGAGCTCATGCTTTTCGCAGTTGTTGTTAATGTGCTCTTTTCAAGGCCCTTTGTCTCGGTAGAATTCTGAAGCTGGCTTTCTTGTGTGCGATGCATTCTGTTGTTTCCTTCAGGTTTATCCAGTGTGGCCCCAAAGCTTCTGGAGAATTAGAAGAAGATATAGCATGGTAAAGTACATTAAAAGCATCTTAAGTCTTAAAACATCCACTATTATTTATATAAACGCCACAATGATCCGCCCCTTCATCAATGATATTGCACGGCCAAATGGGATATGATTGGCCTTACCACCTCCAGTCCCTTAGCTCCTGGCGGGTATACAGCTGCCTGATGTGCATCCTTGGCCACTGACAGGGCAGGAGAAGCAGGGCTTCAATTTCGCAGCAGCTCGGACATGAATGATGGTGCACCAGGTGTTGATTTTGTTAGGGGAATGACCAAATGGTCTGCCTATATGCAGTGGAGATGGGTCGAAAGGCTAAAACATATGACAGCAGATATTTAGGCATGTTTCATGCTTGAAGAAGATGAACATCCACAATTATCCATCCATGTCCCCGTTGCTTCTCCATTCTGTTCATATGATCCCTTGCGGCACCTTGGGGTGACTGAAGGTCCCATCCTTGCACCGTGGCCCTGTGGCGAGGTTTGGCGTTTCTGGTGGCAGGCAGCGGCGTGACGCCATGCATTCAGATCCTCCAGGACTGGGTGGCTCAAGGTGCTGCGCCGTGGAAGCCAACATCTTTGGCCGGCGAATTTTGGGGTTGTCTGAAATTTGGCGCACCCCAATGGATTAAAACCTCATGTTCCCATTTAATAGGCTATTTAAGTGGGAGTCCCCCATTGTCAGACAAACCCATGTCGAAAGGATATGTGTTCCCTAGCAATGTGCTGTTTCAAACCGATGATGCTACTTTTCTATCACAACGGCAATATTTGATGCTAACAACAAGGATGACAAGAATGACAACAATGCTGATGATGTCTAGGCATATGAAGGCCCAACATGAACAGATCCAGTATCAATCCACATGTTCTTGGAGGGGCGTTGCTTTGCTTTCAGCTTGGAAATTCAGGGCCACTCAGATCTGAGATGATTCCAACTAGTAAACACACATCATCGGACCATCAGTTGACTCAGCCCAGTAGGTTCAAGGGGCCCAAGCTTCACTATTTCGGGTGGAGACAGATCTCCCAAATTGAGGCGAAGCGTGCAGCTCCATTCAAATGGACATTTTGTACGCCAACCGGACTGAGGATGAGTGTCTTGGTGGCGTAAGGTACTGCTCAACTTGGGGTTGCCGATCCGCCCGATCCCTTCCAAAAACCTCCGGTTCTTTCAACTGCCCTTGAGTCTGCCAGAGGTAGCAGTCGATTTAGCTCTGGGGCTTCTCCCTTTCTCCACTCGATGTGACACATTGTGGGGTGTACTGCATCTACCCTCTTGGAATCAAACATCCCCACTTCTTACTTGGAAAATCTTTGATGGTATCATGTTCTTTGCCAGGTCGGAGTACGAGATGTGTCTTTCCAGGATTTTCCATCTTCTATTATACAAAATTGATCTATTTGCTGCTGGTTAAACATGGTAAACCCATTTTCTCGGTTAAAAATACAATGTTCATCCATTGGCTGCTGGTGAAACCACATTTTTAGGGGTAGAATCCAGTTGCTTTATGATCTTTTTGGGCTGCTAAGAAAACCCTGGTGCCTGTCTGACCTATCTCCTCACGTCCGAGCTGACTAACTGAGGATCGCCTTCCGGTCCGAGCTGACTGACTTGGCCAAGCTGTCGCTGAGCTGAGTGAACATCAGGGTCACTGCTTCAATGACCATCAGATCTTTGGATAGATTATAGCGACCTCATTATGACCTCACTGGAATGATGGCTAGGATTGGGAGAATCATCCCCCGAATGCACAAACTATTCAGATTAAAGTGAAATATCGTAAGTTACCAAGATATACCCAGATTGTTTGTGGTTGATGGCTTATGTAAAAAGGAACTTAACCTACCATCAATGTGAATGTGACTACTGCTGGGCTATTCATGGAGCTTTAACCGACCATATATCTGGATGAATTATATCTGATAAATTAACGAATGTAGATATGAAACATCCCTAGGAATTTCTCTGCATAGGGTGGATTTCCCATATCTATGTCAGTTTACTCGAGGTTAGATTATGTTAGGTAATATACTTTACGGCCATCATAATCACCAAGCAATGGGAATTACATCCAATAATATTGTCAAAGCGGGGTGAGTCACCATCAAAAGAGAATAAGCAATTCAGCGGCAAGAAGTGGCTTGTAGTATCTTGTAGTATGATGTAATATGTTTATCACAAGAGTTGTAAGGATTCAATTTGCAGAGGATCATCTCGAAAATAAAAACATATCTGAACTGATTTGCATGCGCACCCCAGTGAGTAATAGCATGAATCGGTTCTAGCTATGGGCAACTTACTCGGGTTGCACATCCAAGTAGAAAATGTGCGGAACGATATTTCATTACTGAGACGGTCCATCAATCATTGTGGGAAAAATTGGTGGAATTCAAATACCTTACCCGCAATCCCAGTACTTTGACGACTAGGAATGAAACTAGTCGTTGGGTTTCAGTCCTAACTGATTGGAGTTTTATCTGCCCCAGCTATTGAACACTTTCTGTCCTTGCTTCAGAGTTAATCCGCAGGGCATCCCCACATCGAGATGACCCATGTATAGTATTGTTTTCCTAGGTGTCGGAGTGTCAACGTGTGCTTCGCAGTTCCTTGCCTGATCTTTGGATGTTGCAACCGTGCTTACCCTTGGTGCTTGATTGGTTAACTCTCTACAGAGGTGATATGTGTGTTTAAAATTTTGTTTTTGATTTGGAGGGCCACCAAAATGCGGAACCCATTGGTCTGGCTCTTGGGGATTTTGGTTTCAATGTTTGGTCATCTTGTCTTATTCTGGAGATATTCTTAGGGAACATTGAAAAATGAACATGAAGTAGAGATTTTAATCCTACTTTTGGGTTTGAACATGGATAAATAAAGTATTTAGTTAAGGATAGGATTTAATATGATGTATATGTGCCATATACCATGCCCACACTGTATGATCTGCACTCATCCTCTCAGAAAGTCAGCTCAAATGGAGGATCTTTGAAGCTGCATTCAAGTTTCTGAGGTCACATCAGCAGGTTTTTTTTGGGGGCGACCTTATTGAACTGGAGGGTACATTTACACGAACCTTTCTCATCTCACTCCCCATCGGCCCTCGTTCCCTCCCCCCCAAAAAAAGAAAATTGTCAACACATATCTGGATGCTTCAATTCGGAAGAAAAAAATCCACGTTGGTACACCGGAATTTCACCACTAAAGAAATGGACGGTTCTGAGCAAGCCTGAAATGTAGATCTGGACAAAATATCGCCACCCCGCAACCACCAGACATGATGGTCATGAAACCGGCTGACCCTCACGTCTAAGAATTGGCCAAGGAAGTTTGCAGGACCACCCCCACCCTAGATAGATTTATCTGAGAATTAAACTGGCGCACGTGAATCCAATGGTTTATCGTCATATGAACCTTTAAAACCGCAGTCTTATGGCTTCTGCATCCCCATGCTCAGATTCACATCTAATTTTCCCAAACTGATTCATAGAAAGTTTACATGTCGTTTTAAAAAGTTGATGATAACTATGGCTTTGCCATGTTACATGTTACCATGGTTTGTCCACATGGCTTCTCCCCATGTTTTAGACCAATTCTCTCGAGAATTCCGGGGGTCGATGCCTAGGTCACCAATCCCACAGAGGCCTGGGGCGGTCACCGTGGCCGGATCGACCTGGACCTCCTGCGCCAACAGCTGGGCGATGCGGCGGAGGCGACCGTGGCGTTGGATGCTGGGCGGAGGATGGTGGTATGGTGGGCAGAGTAACGGTGATTAATGGTTAATGATGGTTAATGGTGATTAAGCATGACTACAGTAGTGGAGAATAACTCTTTTCCGGGTCTAAACCCCAACCATTTTTTTTTGGGGGGTTTCCTCTGAGCTCTGGCAGTTTTTTTTTCAGGAGGTCCTGGTTTACCAGCAAAAGATATCAAACAATGTAGGACTTGAACGGGAGATAAATTTGACTGATACCGGTATGTTCCCCTATTAGACGCTTAAAAATGTATGGCCTGTTGGTCGTTTCATACGGGAAAACCAGCATGATTAAGGACACCAAGTGTCTTGTTTGAAAAAGGGATAGAATAAGCCGGAAACCGATTGAATCTTGGATAATAGTTGTCAGGCATTTTTGGAGGGGTAGAGCTTTCCAAACCAGACAGTTCTTGATAGATTTCATTGATTTCAGGATAGCTCAGGCATTCTGGATCACTCTGGTTGGATGCAAGATCGCAAATCAAGCAAATTCAGATTTAGTACTTGCTCTGTTTGGTCACCAGTTTCTAAACAAAAGTCTTGTAGAGCACCTGCGGTGGCTGAGGTGTGTGGCCCACCTGAGTTCAACGAAACCATGCGGCTTCATCTGAATAGCCTGGGCTTCACCCGCGTGATTTGCTTTTGACTTCATTTGGCCCAAGCTGTTTGTGGCTCCGCTGTGATCAGTTTCAGTGCCTTCTCAGCCAATGGATCTACCTGCAAGCTTGGATGCCCAAAGTTGGCGAAACCGGCTGTGAAAAATTGTTCGCCAGCAAATGCATAGAAGTGGAGTTTGGAAGTCAACAGCGCTCCCTGTGTGGAGAGCCTGCAGACAGTGACAAAGGGGCGGTCGGGAGCATTCGGGAGCTGAGGAGAAGGAGGGGGCGCATGCGAATCAATGCAAAATATTTTAGGGATTTTTAGGGTGTATAGCTGGGGTTCCTTGGTTTCAGATACCACTTGAGATGTTTTTAGACAGATATGATCATAGAATGAAATTGATATGCATATGATATGAATGCAGCAAACGGTGATTTTCACGCAAGCGACCGGGATCATATGTTTCAACACTTTTGATGAATGGAAGGGATGAACCAAGGAAATGGCACTCGAGCTATGTGAAATATGGATTTGGGTCAAAGTAAGGTCGAAGTAGCCAAAGATGTGGATCATGCATATTACCAGTCACCCGCATTTTAGGGGTTCTACAAGTGGACCCATACCCGGAAATGATGCTTTCTCAAGATCCAGTTTTGCTTCTTTTACATTGCTTCATAATTGGTGGATGCTTTCCAGTAGAGACAAGCTTGATGAATCTGCAATCACACTACCACCAGCGCAGTCACAGCGTCTTATTGATCCTGGCTGAATGTTCCGCCAACTCGGCAGACTCTTGTGTATGTTACAGTATGCTCGTTAAAAGATAGATAGATAGATAGATAGATAGACAGATAGATAGATAGATAGATAAGTGAAATTATTTAAACATATACATGCATGCTACTCTTTGCGTTCAATGTTCACACACACATTTATATATATATATATACATTTATTTACACATAGTGTATATATATATATAAATAGTACATGTTGTTTCGATTTGTGTGTATGCACCTCAAATGCTGTATGTCAATCCTGCTGTCACTACCAAATATGTTCTTATTTGCTGTCATCCTGTGGAGCGTGCACCGCAACTCACGTCTTGTGATGCCGCCAACGACCATCCTGGCTTTAGAGCTCATAGAGAGCCCCTGGCCTTGCTGACCGGTGGGCCCCATGCGGTAATGGCGGCCATTTTCGATGCCATCAGGTGGCCGCCAGAACTTTCGAAGTTTCATCTGGGGTAGCCGCAAAAGTGAACAGTAACTTTGTACATGGAAATGATTTTGTACCTAGCCCTAGCAAGTATAATCATATATATATTTAGAAGAGGTCACCCAGGTTGATAAGTTAGCTGACTCGGCCTATGGGATTTACGTTGGATATAAACAGCAGCCAGGTCGGCCATGGGAGGAGAGACACGCCCCACGGGACCCACCGGCTATCAACCCTCGGAGCTGGCCATCCGATCGCTTTCGACGCTGGAATGGTGGAAATTTATAGATCACCCGCCCAAACAAGATAGAAAAAACCAACATTCTTACCGACCATAGTGAGAAATTGCAGTTCTATGATTTTTCTGGATTGCCATGGGCTTGCTCAAAAGAGGTTGATTATGTCTATGTAGGTGTATGTATGATATTATATGATGTAGTGCTTAACGCACAATTTATTAGCATGGAAAATGATGATAAAACAATGGGTTCTCCGGAGAGTGCACTGAGTGCACCATTCTTGGACACGCCGAAGGGTTTGTGATTCGGTTGCGTTCGATTATGTTCGTGTCTTTGCCCCCGATATATGCAACGATTGGATTATACAAAGGGTAGTGGCTGTGGAGACTTAGAAGGAATATACCTGCGCCCTCCGTTCCTACCCTTTTGTTGTTTCCCTCTTGCTTATTCTGTCGGGGTTTGCGCACCAAGGAGCGTGTCGGACAAGCATGGACTATCAAAGGCAATGTTCCTCAGTTGCAATGGTTGGATATGCTGCTGACACGATCTCCTTTCCGACCTGGCACTGACACTTTCAGTATTTGTAGATCACTTGACTATTGATATTGGTAAATGTCCATTGTTCAGGTTCTGTAGCTCCCAGCAGTTGTTTTACATTCGCGTCCCAACAGTTTATTCACATTTGCATCTTTCAGCAAGTGTTTACCTGAACCCAGTTCATCCTATTATCTTACCATCGCTTCTATTCAAACATATTCACACCATATGGCAATGGAAACGGCCTGTTGAATCCGGTTGATTTATTCGGGTCCCAACGAAAAGAGAAACGTTTTCTCCAGGATGGTATGGATGATAGTTGCCTCAAATTTCCAGGTATCCACATGTTCTGGTTGTTTTGAGGCTACTGAATCCAGTTGGTGATTTTTCGCCAGGCATGTTTAACCCCAGCCAAGGTCCGGGGAAAGTGGCTTGTGGCCTGGGGAAAGCTGCGCCACTGGCCTAGAGTTTGTTGTCGTCTTGGTGAGGCACATGCTTTGTTGGGTATCCAAGGATCTGTTGGAACAACCAATCGTGTCAGGTCGTGTCAATTCCATCCCCATGTCCCAGACATGAGCCAAAGAATATTGATCCGAACATAAGATGGACATTTACATGTGCTGTAGGAACCCTTGAATCTCGATCTCTTAAAATCAACCCAGCAGGTTTGTCTGAAAATAGGCTACTCCAAAATTTGATGTTTGACCAGGTTGATCATGATTCTCCCTATCTGAATGACTACTTTGGGGTTTCCCATCGCCCAGATCCCCATGCCTTAGGTGAGTCCATCTCCCAGCTCCTCAAAGCGGCAACCTGAGTAACTGAGCTGCATGTGCAGCTGGTGGCTGTGCCGAAATTCGGAACTTTGTGTCCTAGAGATGTCAAACTTGTAGTTTGCAGTATTGTTTGGATGGTTTTCAATAGAAAGTATTTGGTTCTTCAATTGCAACCAGTCTCATTTGGGTAGGTGCTTCTCTAGACCTGTATGTTTGAGCAGAGCCATTCTGGATGGTAAACCCTAAAGAAGCGACAAAAGAGTGATTTAATTGGTGCTTGTTTGAGTGTGATTCACTCCCCTTTGGGACTATGAGATTCAATGCCAATCAGGTTTTGTCTGAAAATAGGGCCTCCATGTGTATCCAAGTTGGTGATAAATCGTTGCATTTCCCTTTGCAACGGCTCTTGTATGGATATACCCACTTTTCTAACACATTTAACACACCCAAATGTCCTCATGTTTGATATATACTATAATTATATATATATATGCATGCACGTATATCCCAATAATTTACAGACTGCACATAGGGATCTCCCATAAACATCCACCTGTTAATGACGGTACTCTGATGGCTGGAGCACCACTGGATCTAAGGATCCTGCTGGGGGGGCCGCCAGAAGTCTCAGTGCTTTCCATGCGAAGTCGAGGCAGGACGGCTGCAGGTGCTCATCAAGTTGGGCTATCTGACTCTGTTTGGCGTATTCATATGTGCACACATATACACAAGTAGATTTGCTTATATTTATTCATATGTATAAATCGTTTATGTATAAAATATTATAAAATGTACAGCTAGTCTATTTATGTGTGATTATTGTATCCAACCACTGGTGAGCGCCTGGGGTAGTCACTCAGCACGATCGAGTACCGTCATGGGTCGGGTACTGCATGTAGGGAGGCCCCTGGTTGTCTTGTGTTTTGGGGCTTGGCTAAGCCCACGCAGCCAGGGTCCATGAATTTGGGGTAAGCATGCTGTATCTGATGAGCTTGATGTCATTTCATCAATTGAAAACATTGACATGGCATCCAAAGACTTCCGAATGGCATCCAAATATGTCCAAATAGCTTTCACATGGCTTCTAAGCTTGTGAAAAATCCGTCCTCCAAGTTTCACAATCCGCTTGCCAAGTTTCACAATCCGATGTTGACCAGTCAAGACCAGGATGATCATTGTTGACTCTTCTTGGCCCTCTCCCATTCCCATGTGGACCCCCACATGGCATGTGAGAACAAACCAGCCACAGCCTGGAGTAAAGCAGCATCTTTCCAAAGGTCAGCAGATGGCTTCGTACCGCTCAGTTCCAGAGGACAGGCAGGCAACCACCATCAGACTTGGACAACATGGGATGGCCACCATGCCCGGAAGAAGTTGGATCACAGATCCACAGGGTAGCTGGGAGCTTACCTCCTCAATGCTTGTTGGGTGCCGACTCTTGGGAAACGTTCATTCAGTCTGTAGACTTCTGTTGGTCAATTGTTGAACTTAATGCTCTTTGACAATATGCGTATATATATATATTATATATATCTATCTATCTATCTATCTATCTATCTATCTATCTATCTATCTATCTATCTATCTATCTATCTATCTATCTATCTATCTATCTATCTATCTGTGTGTGTCTATCGTCCATGACGAATTCAGGGACCCACAACGACCATCATTTGAGTCCTGTTGGGTGCCTCCCGTCTAGCTGCCAGGCCCCGAATAGTAGACACCCCAGGAAAACATTTTTTGGGGACCATTTAGTAAAATTGGTTGATGGTTTGGAACATTTTTCCATATATTTGGAATAATGATCCCAACTGACTATTATTTTTCAGAGGGGTTGAAACCACGAGGAGGATAGGATTGAGGGTCTTGCGAGATCCTCCCACACCCCATGCGAAGGCCCTTCAGCACACCCTTCGACGATGTGGCTTCACTACCGGCACCCGGCTGCGCCGGTGTGCGGCGAACGCCTTCCATCGCCTCGAGTTTGCCGGAAAGGCACGCTAAACCACTGAACCCCTTCCATAAATCTTCTGTTTTGTTCAAGTGTGCCGGGCACCTTTTTCAGATGCTTTTCCTGTGAACATTAAGTCTTTGTGGTAAAGTTTGACCGCCAGATGTACTTCTTTCAGCTTTCCCACCAGTTCCTAACTGGGATCATCTCTCTTACCGATTTTCTTGGTGTTTTCTACAAGTTTCGAAGCATATATCATATATACATCAATCCACACATGTCAAAACCACACTTGCCGACGTGTTCAAGTCGTCAAATCGCTCAAATGTCACATTTATTTTTGGTGCATATGATCTCCCCAAATCTAGAGACTTCTCCATCCAAAAGCCACCAGGGATGCCTTGTTGGAGCTGCCACAGGATCCCATCCTTCAAGACCGATATGGATTCCTTCGCGGACAGTGAGGCCTTGACAGAGGCCCTACAGAGCGGTCTGCCAAGCAACAGCACCTTGTTGGTGCGGGGAGAGAAGCGGAAGGGATAACTGGCCCGGGATTTTTTATGGATGATATATACATATACACTTAATACAAAATTTGTTTAGTTAATGATAATGTGTATAAAAAATGGTACCGTTAAATAATTGAATAAATAAATAACTAAATAAATATATGTAAATATATACACTTCATGATGACAAGCATATTCATTAATACCGCATATTAAGACTATAAAGAAGGATGTTGGGGGCGCAAATCTCCATCACAGTATTCATTTATATTGTGTTTGTATATATATATATATTTATAGATATTTATATTTATAGATATGTTTGTTTTGGTTTGTGTTTGCTGTTTATCTCCATAGTATTTGCAAGAATTGTTCTTCAAATGAATGCATGCATGCACTGGTCCTGAACTATGCCTTCATCGGTTTGTTTGTGTGAGTTTAACTGTTTTGGATGGTTATACGCGCTAGAAATCTAAAGGGCTTGAGCCCCAAGATGCTATGCTTGCTTGCTGTAGAACGATCATGAGAGAAAAAGGTTTGTGGCATTTAATGTCCAAAAGCATCGCAAGGGCAGCGCGCATCGCCAAGGCAATCATCAGTCCATGGAAGCACCAGGTGGGCCTGGGTGGCCCCAAAAATCCAAGTCTGTTCTCTGTTGGTGATGGGTGAAAATCAAACATGTCTAGCACAGGGTAGGTGATCATGTGTAGGGTAACCGTAGGTAAGCTGTGCTGTTCGTGTTTTGGATGTTTGCCAGTGAGGGTTGTGACGTATTCAGTGTGCAAAGCCGTTGAGGCCGAACTGATTCCCATGCTTTGTAAGGCTAGATAGGCAGCAAAGATTTCGGAGATTTGATACCGGATGGGCACATACATTGTCTCAAATTTAAGCGCCACTGAAATCCCAAACAGTCAGCAGTCATAAAAATAGAAACATCATGGTTTTCTTGTCAATGACTCTGTTTGGCTCATGGCACCTTCCCTCACCTAAACAGTATGGTTTTGAACAGAAAAGCTTGGAACCCTCCTTGGCGATGCAGTTGTGGTTACTCATATGTATCACCATGGTCATGGCCCCCATAAGTTGGGATATAGCGCATCATATTCATTACATACCCATTTACGGAGTTGGAAAAAGAAACGCTTCCAACCTGTTTAAGAAAACATGTGCAATTAAAAAAACATCTCAAAATGCTTGGAACATGTCAGACAGGCCCTGAGTTTAGACCCTTCAATACCCAAAAATTTCAGACTCTTCCGATGCGTCAGGCCTGGGTCTAGGCATCACCAGTGCCCCCGGCGCGCCAGCGCCTCGCGGGCTGCGGCCTGGGGAACGGCCCTGTGACAAGTGGCTGCCCGGGAGCGTCGTGGAGGCCTCCAGGGATGGCTTGGGAGTAGAATATATGGATAATTATTGTGTATATATATATATGTTTATATATATATATTGGGAGAATGTAGCTATCCAGTTCAATCTCGAATTCTATCTCTCAGCTGTGTTTGGCTTTACAATGTTGTAATGGGATAAACCATCCATATTTTATGTAGTAATTAAATGTAATTAAGCACAAAAATACACAGGGATTGATCAACTAGTGTTTGTGGGGGTGATCAACTTATGTGTTGTTGTTGCTGTTGCTTTTTGAACACTTTTTTGGCAAATCCAGGGAAAAACAGGGATTGATGAATGTACGTTTTGTTTAGTGTCCTTCCTTGAGCATTTAGGAAGGGCATATATTGAGGTACCTCTTCGTTCTTTCACTTTCAACTCTCTCATCTCTCATGGTTCATGATCATGTTCAACGATTATGAAATTGACTCCTTTTCCGTGCATTTGTAAGTATCTGCAAGTATTTTACTTGTACTATACGTATTTATTTGTCATATTTCGTAGAAATCAATCTTATACAATCTATTTTCTACATATATTTATATATATATATGTAAAAATACACACACACATATATATATATATATATTAGTACTTAAATACTTGTATTGTGTATTTCCCCCACTTGCCTGGGTAAAATTCCATCCCTTTTTGGTTAGTTGCAGGATCATCTCACTTATCAATTTGTTCGCGTCCCTGGTTGATACATGCTTTACACGTGGCTTATCCCATTTAGAACTTAGCTATATCGCCACTTGCTGATACTTATTGACAAGTTGCGATCCGTAGTGTGCTCCCAAGTATCTTCTTCAATATACATACTATTTTATAATTAGATACATACACTACACACAGACATATTATATATGACACAGCTACTGTGTATGTCTCCCCATTGTTTGGCCTCCGGATCCTTTCAGGTCTATTCCGCCTCGGCGGGGCGTTGGTACCCTGCAGAGGTGGGGCAGGTGGAAGGTCAAGGTGGTGGTCAGGACTGGGGCCACACGACTGGGCCGCGGGTGACCCACTCCACAGCTTGGTGCCCCAACAAAAATAGAGATTTAACCAACAAACATGGGAATTTAAAGAAAAAATATGGGGTTTGATGGGGCGTATAGCTGATTTATGGGACTTAAGTGGGTCTTTAGCTTCAATAACCAGGGTTTATGATACATATATCGAACTAGTGTATGGGGGTTCTGAACCAAGTCAAGCAATGGCAGTTCAAAGGTGCAAAAGATGGATTTTGCTTGATTTTGACTCAATTTGGACGGACATACCGGAAATCATTATAATGAAGGTTTCACCTTAACTGGCAATTTGAACGGGAATAACAGCAGCCAAAAGGATCCCAAAGGTGGATTTGAACGACAGACATGTGAGTTGAACCCACCGCACATCCGATATCATCCGGTATTTTCCCAACAGAAATGCTGCGGATGTGATGGAATATGATCAGTCTGATTGGCTTGGTAATTTCAAGATATTCCAAGAGTATTTGTTCAAGGAGAAATGAACACCACGAAGAAATGATATTTGAGATGATGGGATCAGGGGACCTTGAGTGCTTGACAATGCTTGGCTTGGGAACGGGACAGTTTTCAGCCTAGTTTCTCTAGTTATGGTGATTGAGGTTGGCTGATCGATATCCACATGTCCAAATGAGGTTTAATCAGGTCACCGCATGCGCCGCTAAACCCTTGCAGGAAGACATCGTCACGGTGGTCTTCTACCTGGGGGATGAGATGAAGCAGAAATCGGTGTCACTCGACTAAGAAACTGACCGCTGCAAATCAAGATGAGCACAATTTTTTGTTAGGACAACTCAAACTCTGGGGTGTTCCACAGTTATCCGATTTCATAGCCCTTAGCCCCTGGGCCGTTGCCCATCTTCCCACAGACATGGACCTGCTTGCCAGGTACCGCACCGACAAGGCCCTTGCGGTCCTGGGGGCCCACACCTTCTCCGAACTGCCTCCCGGTTTCGAAACCCGCGCCTCGCAGTCGAAGCCGGGACAGCTGGTCTACTTGGACCTGTGCCTTGGCGCTGGGACGATAGCTGGGGGAATTAGCGATTGTTGGCTGATAGCTTATTTAAAGGAGGTTGATGTAATATAAGTACCCAAAGAATTTTGTTTTTTGGGGAGCAGCCGTTGCAAGGGGAACAATCTAGAAGTGAACACAAATTGCGGCTTTTCATTGAGTTTCCACCACGGTTGGACCAGAATTATGCGTGTTTGTTCTCATTGTGGAGCTTGAACTTGTTTTTTTGCGGTTGGGAGTTGGGAAGGGGGGCCGATGGGGTGGGAGTTCACATCCTTTGGACCTTCCCACCAGTTCCAAGGTGACCAGGGTGAAAGCATGCTACAAAGTTCCACCTGCTCACTGTTTTATTATGATAAATCATTCTGAAAATGCAATGCCAGAATGCCACTAGTCACTCGTCTTTCCATGCCAGGTCTTGTGGTCTGGGTCTTAGCTCATGGTTGCTGATTTGATTTCTACCCCTCCCAGCCTGCTGCAAAGGACCACGTGCACAAAGCCACTTGCTTCAATAGAGACGGATTGAGGCCGATCCCCAAACACCTGGTATGATGTAGTGGCAAACTATACTAGCCAGGTCTCTGGTAGAGGTTTGTAGCTTCTGTGGTGTATTTTTGTTTTTTCTCCATTCCGGAGCTGCAGACAGAAGATTCAGGTCCCATCCCTGATAATTAATCGGATTCGAAAGGGTGCCCAAAGAATTCTTCAGTCACAAACTTGTGCCATGTAAAATCACGCGTTCGAAGGAAAATAAGATACCTAATATACACATGGGTGCATTTTCCTTTGCCGCATTTGCTTACCCACAGGGATCCTGCTATGTTTGATTGAGAAGATTTGCGTAGCATTTTTGAAACATGAATTATATAATTAATTCATGCAACACTTGAACTGGCCCGGAGGCTTGCCTAGATTGTCTAAGCTTTCTGCGTAGGCTCTGCGGGAGGATTATTTTGTGCCGTTGGCTTTTGGCTAGGCTGGGGTAGGAGTTGCGTAGGTTCAGTATAGCTATTTCCGCATGGGCTGTCGCTGTGGTGGCGCAGGCGAACGATAAAGTGCAAAGGCCCAAACAACAAACAACCTTCAATTTTCACCACGCAAATCCAACACGATCCAACCATATTTTAGGGACGAGTTGAGAGCATTGGTTCAACCTAGTACCTCAGCTCTGCCGAGGTATGCCTCCCTGGAGCTAGCTTGGCAGGTTCATTTCCAGCGCCTGAAGCAACTGCCCGCTGCAGGCTGTGAGACAGTGGCCGCGGTCCCGGCAGCCAGGCCCTGGCAGGGAAGGTGGGGTGAGGGGGTACAAACTACATTTGTTTTGGTCAAAGTCCATTGAAAATATATTTAGGCATTATTTATTTATTGTTTATGCGACCCACGTTGTTTGGAGAAAATTGACCACGTTTAGCTTAACACCTTGCATCTCTCAACCTGTGGCCGTTTCTCACCCTCCCCAAGAAGCCGCCGCCACGGAGGCCGCCGCCACTGGCGCCGCGCCGCGGTGCTGTGAACGGCGGCAACGTGCCGCCGGTGATGGAGGAGGATGAGCTGAAGGAGGACTCGGGGAAGGTGGCGCTGCCCAGCTTTGGCGATGAGCTTGGCAGCCAGGCAGGGCGTGGACCTGGGAATGAAGGGCTTCTGAGTACCAGGTAGTGGTTTTGGTCATGCGATGTCACGCGGCAAAATCCAGAGCCATACACTGAACTGTGGGAATGGTTTGACTCATTAGATCATACTGACTTCTGTATGTAAAAACATCATTCGGCGTCTATTGTTTGGAATAGGGGCATAGGATGGGGCCAAAAGGGTATGAATTGGGAGAGTAAAAGATGAACAGACCATGAAGATGATGTGGAGGCATAATAGACATCTGTTTTTACATTTCATTGCGGGAGCATGTTTCAACAGACAATAAATCAGAAAGCTATGGGGACTCAAATGGGGGCTACAGAAGTGGATGGCTGAAGGCTGTGGGAGGCCCCCCTTGTCAATTGTAGAAGTCCGTGTGGGACGCCTTGCTGGGGAACAGAAGTTGCCATAGCAGGCTTCAGCTCTGGGTTGCTTGACGACATTTGCCAAGCGCCCCGATCTTTCCTTCCCTGTCGGCCAACAAAGATAGCAAACATGGCTGGCCCGGAAATCCCAAGTCCTTGAAGCAGCGCAATCAGCTGTATCATCTAGGATATGCATATCCATCCAAAAATTGGATGAACGATTTTTTTGCACAGGGAACAGCATTGCTTGAGTGGATTCTACCACTCCAGTTCAGTTACCCCCAACAATAGCTGGTGATTGATGGTAACACTGGCAGGATCGTGCCATTCAGTAACTGGTTGATATACCTGGTTAGTAAGTTCCCATTCAGTGGGTGATCCCAGTTATCCCATAGTTAAACGGATTATAACTTTGGTTGCTAACCAGTTACTAACAAATTCGCCCTTATTGGTAATTATTGGTGCTTAAAAAACAATTCATTCACCAACCCAATATGCATCGCTCGGCAGGGCGCCTACTTGGACTATGTGGGTGCCCCCTTGGCCGCAGCCAACCGCTATGGGAAGGAAAACCCCATGGCTGCGGGCTACCAGGCCGGGCAGGAATGTTCATTGAAGCTGCCATTTAAACGGGAACATTGGATAGATTGTGATAAATACAAGAGAGCCTGAGAGTCTGTTCTTATTGGGGTTACCCTATTTCAAAAGACGAGGTGCTTGATAAAGAAAATGATGCATTGATCAAAAGACGCCAAGTAAATGCAATTGCCAGTGCTTGCTTTCGGACATCGCTAATGCTGTAGCCGCTCATCCATTTGCATCCATGTGCCCAAGGTTGCATACTTGTGCAATTTGCGGAAGAAAAAACATACAACCCGAAAAGGAAGGTTTACAAAGATTGGCAAAGATGCCAGCTAAATCATAAGTGCTATGAGGTATTTCAGCTCAGCAGAGGTTAGTTGGGCCATTTAGTTTATTAGCTGGCTTGCAAATGGATTATACAAGTTATAGGCCATACAGTAGTACTTCCGGTTGGGAGCTGGGTACCAACCAGTTCTAGTGTTCATGGCCCATCTCAGTAGTTTATTGGAAGGTAGCAAAGTTGTTCCCTTCTTTCCCATGTGTGATATCTCTATTAAATCACTATTGTATCACCATTACCATTACATGCCCATGATTTCATAATATATTGTTCGGTGTGTCGCATTATATCATATACGATCATATTATTTCCCATTATAAATTATAACGCGCTTATATATCCATATAATAAACAATATCAGACATCCTTGGATATGATATATCCCATTTTTGGATACCCACACCTTCTGCTTTTTTCAGCAGCTCGTTGAGTCGAGGTGATTCATGCCTCGGCTCCACAGCGGCCCATCAAGATCCGAACCTTGGCGTCCAACCAGGACATATGTTCGTTAAAGATGACCGGGCGTTGAAGCCAACATAGCTGGATAAACTATCATGACCTCACGTCGTGACGTCAATGGAATGAGGGTTAGGTTTTGGGGGAATCATCCCCAAATGGTGCTAAGAGAACAGCTATTTTCAGGTTAGTGGATCATAGGGATATCGTCGGGATAGGTCATAAGATGCATCATCAACTGATAATTTGGTGAGATGCGCAGCGATTTTAATTGAACATCATTTGTATATACGGGGTTTAGTTATCATTCTGTTGGCTTCATGTGAGCAAATTTTGATTGATAAATTCTGATTGGTTGAAGGCTTCTTGATTACCAAGGGCGTGCTTAACCTGCCTGGTTTGTTGAGGATAATGAACTGGCCCATTGTGGGAATCTCTGTCCATCAGACAGTATCTAATCCCTTCCCCCTAGATACCATCCAACCAAAAACCTTGGTTAAGTATGGTTAAGTTAGGTTTAGCGGTTTAGCGGTAAACATGTCCAGGTCGGGACACATATTGCATGATGATTTGCTCAGGGTAGATCCTATGTGATTAGTTACATTGCTAGCAGGTTTTGATTTGATGAAGTGCCCTCACACCAACAGCTTGCACGGGACGGAAGAACATAATACTGGACAAACAGATGCTCACAGTGAATCTCCCAAAGAAATCATGTCCTTAACACGACGTTCTTATCAGTATGTGGCTACTTTGGGGGGATTCCATATTAGATTTCAAGATATTTCAAGGGGTTCATCGACCAGGCCTTTAAGCGAAATTGAGGCAATGTGGACCCTGCGCTGCAGACATGGCAGGATGTGTCTTGGCCTGGCTGAGTCGAGGGGAGTTTCTGGGTTAAATTGCCCATTACTTGGGGTGCCGTTGGTGCTATTACTGGCTACAACATGGTATGGTCATGGTAAGAACCTGCAAAAATTGAGTTAACCAACTCCTAAATTAAGTGCTTATATCTACGCAAATTTAAATGGAGCTGCCCCTTCAAGCATTGAGACGACCAAATGGTATGTACTGTTGACTGTACATTGTTACGTTGTTGTTTTTTTGTTTGAGATCCATCCTGTGGGCCAACCTTTTTTGAAGACTTGACTCACGTTCAAGTCTGTGTTTTCTCTGTTTTTCTTGGGCACTCCTATGAGATTTCCAGTCCAAGAAAGAGTTATGAAGGGTTCTGATGCCCCATTCCATAAAAACCAATGGAGGTGATAAGCTGTCTACCAAAGAACAACCTGTCAATTCTTAGGGCAAAATCTCACCCGGACTTCGCTTTCAGGATGCCTTCTCTGAATGGCGTAGATGAGCAGCGACCAGTCGGCCAAGATATGATGGCGAGGATTGTGGGAAACACCGAAAACATTGGATAATCTCAAGTTTATTTCATCACGAACATTGGATGGGTAATTTAATCCTTTGGATTTTTTGCTACTATTGGAAAATATAGACACAAACAGCAACAGATTATTCTTTTTGGACTACCAAAGGTTGACCATGATTTTTGGTTCAAGGCAAGTAGTAACAATCACTTTTGTAAGCATGATTGGTGGAATTGAAAGATAGGTTCCTTCTGGAGACACGAGCGCATCTTTGCAGACTACTCAAGGGCAGCTAATGATATACACGTTCATCTACCACGATATTTTGCAATGCCACTTTGGGTTTCTGGTTGTATTTTTAGGGCAGGACTGTGGTAAACCGGTTTTATAAACCTGTTTGAGTTGACAGATGCTGCTCGGGCGCCATGCGAGAGAGACTGCAGCGTCTCTTGAAGCCGCACAATGAAACCAACGATGTGGGCAATTACATGAGGCTTGATTTCTTTTTGTAACTTCATCAGCAGCTGTACAATAACATGTGAAAAAAATGTGATTTGTGCATATTTATGCGAAGTTCAGCTTCAAGGGGCGCAATTCGTGCGGGCTTAACATGCCCAGAACATGTCCACTGGGCCCCAGATGGCGACCCAGTGAGAGGATGTCCGACCTGAAACGATTTTTAGTGGGCTATGACCATCTATGACCAATGGTTTGGTCTGATAAGGTGCCTAGGGCCTAATGGGTCAATACCTTGGATCATCGTCATACGGTGTGCAGCTTGAAGATGGGGCATCCAGGTCATAATAGCATGCACGATCGACCGTAACAGATGGCGGTTGCGCAAAATGAGAAGATCAATGTGTGAGACAAAAACCTGCTGATTTTTAGCCGCGAGTGAAATATGCGCACGATGATTTCTTTGAACATTCTCGCCATGGATGATTTCAAGTCACGCGCACCAATAGTCATCCCACTCGGAAGTCACTTGTACGTTCCTTTAAATCTTTCAATACGTTTATTATTTAATATGGTGTCATTTAAATCCATTCCCTCTTCGCACAATCTTCCTTGCTGAGCACCGAAAAATACGGGTTTCCTTGAGATTCCCCTACCACCTCTAGATGTAGATAGAGAGAGAGTGGAGCCGGGGCAGGTCAACCAGGGAATGACACATCAGATAAAAATGATTGCTGGCCATTGAGATATGATCCTACCCTTTCGGTCGGATACGAGGTCGGACATGCCGAATGATCTTAAGTGAGCGTCTTGTAAAAAACATGTCCTCTGGTAATTTAGAATAGCTATGGAGAATAAGCATGTCTAAGAGGGAAATCAGCCTGAATTATCGAAGATTAACAATCCAGAATGCCATGCCGGAATCTGGCCGAGACTCTCCATGATCTCCATGAGCTTGTAGTTTCGCCACGATGAACTCAAGCAGTGTGCAATAGCTTGGGTCATCTCTGGCCTTGCGCCAACCCAGGGACATGCTCGCAACATTGGACCTACTTTGCAGATCCTTGTGGTGTGCGTGTCTTTGCTTTTCTTACTGAAACGGCATTTACATGCATTTACTCATATTACAGTAATGTTATATATATATGTTATACTTTTACATATTGAAATATGTGTGTGTAAATAATTACTCGAATCACTTGAAACTCTTGGGAAGGTTTTTGCAGTGTGGTTTCGGTTCGGTTCTGTTCGGTTTCGGTTTCTAGTATTTGCTATATAGGCCCGGTTCGGTTCATGTTCGGTTCCGGTTCCTGCGGTTATCTGCGGTTCCTGGTCGATTTCGGTTCGGTTCGGTTCGCTGTTTGGAACATTCTGCATTGATATTGGCCTTTTTCCCGGCGTCGGAAAAGCAAATACATATTGCTTCCCGCAAGAGGTTTATTGCTTCCCGCAAGAGGTTTATTGCTTCCCGCAAGAGGTTTCATGAGCAGCGGCTTTCAAAGAGCGGAGAGAGCTGAACCCGGAAACCGGAAAACCAAAACTTCCTGAAATTGTCAATGCATGCAATTTATTTTGAAGAAACCCATATGTGCTTTTTTTCATTGAACTCAAAATGCAATTACTACTTTTCCAATCAGTTTATTGGAGGAGGGTAGGACGGTTCCGGTTCCTCCGGTTCGGTTTTGCACACGGTTCCAGCGGTTCACGGTATGCTAGTTGATTTTCTACGGTTCGGTTCCACGGTTCCGGTTCGGTTCCAGAACCTTACTGTTTTTGGTATGTGAAAAATCACCGGGTATGACCTTTTTGGTACGAACGACTGACTTGATTTTTCCCCGTCCGCGCCATGGCATCGCAGCCGACCTTCCACATCCATCTCATCAGTGGCCTAGAGTTCGAGGCAGCGAGCAATCCTATGGTAGGGTTTGGCGAAAGGAGCTACAGCAGCTATGGCTCTCTAGCCCATCCTTCATGGTTCCTATTGCAATCTCAATATGACTCGCTGTGGAGCTACCTGGAGCGTATAAGAGCTTCGAGTTTCCTAACCATGCGATAGAAAGGGTTGATGTAAGGGCTCTGTGTTAACTTTTCGGGACCGCATTTGGAGGCACATCAGATCCCGCGAAGTTTTTCTTGTGTGGTTGGGGAAGCTAAGGTCAGCATTATATGCAACCTTTTTCCTGATGATATGCCTTCTTACTACATACACGTGTGTATATATAGGTGATCCTAGACAAGAATCAATTAAATCAATTTATATCAATTTACAATATCCTAAGGGGAAGAAGTTTGCTGCAGACACACTTCCGGAAGTTCAGAAGTTGGCTTCCAGCATGTCTCCACATTCCAAGATCCCATCCCAGCTTTTGAAAACTATCACGCCAGGCTCGCTCATGCCCCAAGCGTCTAAGGTTTCATCGGCTTGAAAAGATAATAAAGCTGAGTATGGCTGACTTTCGGATTGACCAATTTTGAAAGATGCCATTTCAACAACTATGATGTGATTTCTAGATAGGCTGAGCCGCAAAAAGATGTCCTGTCGCAGTGGGCAAACCCAAGGCCCCCATGGCCAACTATCTAGGCTAGTTTGAGTTGGCCACTGTTGCTACGCAACTTGACTTGGGAAGTACTTATAGCTCATGACTGAGGGTGACCCGTGCGACCTTGATAAGGTTTCTTTAAAGAAATGGGCCGGAGGCTTCTCATATTTTGGCTCGTGCTGTAGGTGCAAGGTATTTGCTCCAGCGCGGCCAGGTGCAGCCGAGCGGAACTTTGGTAAAGGACCTGAAGGAGCAGATTTCCAAAGTGCGGGGGATCCCCTTGCCACTCGGATCCACAGGCATTGGCACCGGGCCCATCGGTTAATCTTCAAAAGATATGTCACGTCACGGAGCCGAGGGAGAAAAAAACGCCATTACCAGAGCCAGAGCCAAATTAGTGATTGATTGATGGCAGCCAACTAGTGATGCAGCCTCAGGTATGATCAAACCTTAGTGGTTGATGGCAATGAGTTGCAGAACTTCGACAAGGCTCCTGGCCAATGAGTGCGTGGCTGCACTCATTGGATCAACTGTAAGGTGAATGGGTGGTGAGTGAATTCTCCGTTTTAAATGGGGGACCATTTGTTATTTTTGATTGGCGGACTGTTTTTGAACGGTTGGTGAATGTCTTTTTGTAGCTGAAAATGCTTATACATGGAGATATCTGGAAAACACAGTTTCCAAAATCGGAGGCAAGATTCTGGATCTCCAACCCCTTGTTTCCGTGATCATGTCCCAAAGCTGGGCCCCCTATTGCGGCCTGTTTGCTCATGAAACGGTAGGATTTCATGATTTTTGGGTTTTTTCATGTTTTGTCCTATCTTTGGAAACACGCAACTTAGCAACTGTTGTTTATTTGGGGTTGTCTCAGGTTGCCTCAACATTGGGCACCCCGAAGTCTTATGGCTTACCCAGTCAAATTGCTAGCTGAGCATGTCTCATTTCGAGACAAACTCTTGTTTTTCTGCCGGTGATGTGGCAAAAGCCTTGATGGCTTCGTTTCAAGGATCTCATGCTGTCTTGATCTTTTTAAGAAGGCGCAAGTTTCCATTATCCTATCCTTGTTATCATCCCCAGTACGTCAGCACGATATTCAGGATATCCCCATTGTTGGTTGATAAATCTTATGTCACTAGTCTGGGTTTCTCTGAAAATAGTGCACCCCCCGATCTCAATAGATTCTCACGGCATTCCCTCTTAAAATTGTTGTGGGATGTTGTGGGTATCCCCTCATTTTTTCCCAGGTGGATCCGGAGGGCTCAGTTTTGCTGGTCATCGGCGCGTCGCAAGTGAAGAATCTGGTGCGTGACTATATGCTGAACATCCAGCCACCTGACGGTCAGTGAACGGTTGCGGCCAACGGACGACGGAAAAGTTTCGCGAGTTCACTGACCGATCGAATATCCGTGAAGGATGATTTTTATGGCATATATAATCACACAATATCACATATATATATATGCACATTCATATGCGCGCATAGAACGGTTTGGGTGGAATCATCCCAGGAAATCTCTCCAGTTTGGGAATCATTAATGTTTGCGGAGATAGCTGAGCCCAAATTTTGATCCGGGAGGGATTTTCCATGTTTTTCCCCTTATGTAGTAAGATAAAAACGATTGGAAACCCTTGTCAGAAATCTCAGGGGGTTGCCAGGTATAAACCATCTTGAAATCATATTGCATTGAAGACTCTAGGGATCTTCGTTTGGCCTTGTGGGTGGTCCAAGAGGATGGGTATGTACCCGTGGTTGGATATATAAACATAAGATTAGATTGATTTTGACCGATATATATATATACATATTTATTTATTTATTTATATATTTATTTATTTGTTTGTTTATGTATGATTTATGCATTTAGTTTTTGAGATATATATATATAACATTCACGCTTAATGCACCAGATCGACAGAACGACTCAGATAGCTAGATAGAGACAGGTGCAATTTCCGGATTTTTAGATGGATGGCTTCACAGAAAGTAGATATCCGATAGCTAGACATCTTTCTGTTGAGGAAATGCCGTTGCTGCCATAGTTTCCGAGGGGTCGCCGGCCTTACCGACCTATCTGGGGTCGACTGCCTGAAACGGAGACCAAGGCGCCCAGTTGCTGGCAAACCTTTCGGAAGTTGCTGGCCTTCCGGCATAGGAAACAAATAACAACAACGTGGCATAGGACATTACAAAAACATCACACGAATTTCCATGTAGAGATGGCTTGTTAATCAAGCCATCTATCTACCGATCTGCTAATCTATCCATCTATCCAAGCGTTTTTGTTTTAAAGAAAACTGGTTTTGTTTGTTTTGTTTTTCCATGGCCTACAGTGACTACACCGTCTGATTTTCCCAGCTCCCATGTCGAGGCGCTGGTGCCCGACTGCCTGCAGGGTGTTCGGCACATGTTCCAGGCCTGGCCGGAGTTTCGGAGGCCCTTCTTCACCGAGGCGCCGGGAGGATGTCGGGAGTCTGTTGAAGGCCTGGGGATGGCTTTGGATCAGTGAGTTAACCAGCGAAAAATGGTGGTTTAATGGGTATGTAGTATAGGGATCGGATAAGGTGGGGATAATAGAACCCAGTTCCCATATATTCACTAAGTCCAGGGATCACGAACAGTAGGTACTGCTGAGCCAGCCAATGGGGGGTGAATAACATGGTAGGGATGAAACAGCGAGAGGCAGTTTTGAGTTCCAAAATTTGAGTAGGAATATGATCTTCGCAGGGAAGTGTTCGGCTTCCTTGGCTGGTTGCAATAGCTTTAGTGTTGTGTCATTTTGGTCATGCTGCGTCAATGAACTTTCGGGATGGGCCTACAACTTCAATAATTGGGAATTATGACGGATACAGTATACCCTAACCTTCCAGTTACCTTTGGGACAGGTCGCCACTACAGTTACCTATGGGAAAGGTTGCCAGGAAGCCTTAGGGATACATGTGCAGTTGAACGAACAAATTTTAACAACACCGGGGCGCCAGGAAGAGGTGGAAGACTACCTGACTCGCAGCGCAAGCTGTAAGATGGCACTGCAATCTGAGAGCCAACGAAATGCCCAGTTCACCGTGCCTGTCACCGGCAGTTCTGGGGCGGTTCCCGGGGGGTGAAACGTCAGCAACTCTCCGTCGTTTTGCTGGATATTGTGATGTTGGTAAAGTATTTAAGTTTACAGCTTCAAACTCAGCCAAGTTGAGCAATTACCTTAAACTTACTTTTTATATATTATGTTTATATGCATGGACTGGTTTAGGTGCTGACATCTAGTACCTTGGTATGCACATATTTAACTTTTACATGTAGGATATGGATGGAATTGGGGCTTTGCAATCATGGGATTAGCAGCTGAAACCCCGAGGACCCCTACGAGCAGGAGATGTTGGGCTTGCAGGAGGGCGACATTCCAATGAAGGCTGGGGGCATTGGGGGATGGTATCGAGATGGTCATCAGTCCTTTTGAAAGACGGCTAATGTATTGATAAGGAATTCCTACTAGTTGGTGGGAAGGTTACAAGTCACAAGCAGACTGACTCACAGTGAGTGTGCCAAATAGCTACTTGAAGAAACCCCTATATAACAGAGACTGCTTCGAGTTTTGGGTACACAGTATACGCCTTAGACCACTGGGACCCCGAAGAATTGCTCACTATATACATATATTTGAAACTTGTGCAGAAAATAATTGGTGTTTTTGTTTAACTTTTTGCAGTTGCGTCATGATTTCTGCTATGCACAGGTTCTCTTGGACTACAAGGAGCGGTCCTGGAACCACATCACAACACTCAGCGTGGAAGATGCACAACGCATATCGCAGGAGAGAGAGCCTTGGCATCAGCATCATCAGCATCAGCAGGTTCAGGCTCTTGGCAGGTGTCCCGGGAAACTTGTCAATCATACATACACATATTATATATATATATATTATAAATATCATATAAATATATATAATACATATATATATAATATATATTTATAATATAATTTATTTAATACATATATATATATATACCTGGGCGGTGGTTACACATGCTTTCAACCATATCTGGGATCATGATCCCCAATGACGAGCTAGTTTTCAGGATGCTGAAAAAACCACCACCCAGATAATCATTCTTTATGGTGGAGCGCTTCCCTACTTGAGACTGAGATGAAACTACCGTAGGTGGACGAATTGTTCAAACCCCTGTAGACCCCATCCCCCAAATTTCAATGTTATTGGTGTTCACAAAGGCCACGAATAAAATCAAACCCCTGAGGATGGACATGGAGACAGAACACAGCAACCGGGGGCCCGGGGGATCCCGGGGGTAGTTGTAGATCATCCAGCTGGGGGTTGATTAATTTGTCCATTTACTGTAGGAAAGAAGAGCTTCATTCTTTCCCCTAACTCAGCAGTGTGCAAAGCCTCTGTTGGTTGATGATTACTGCATAAGGGTTTTTACTCACGATGGTATAGGGAATTGTCACAAGTCAGCGGAATCCCTATCAACCAACCAGTACGATGGAATGACTCGGGGATTTTGAACTCACGATGGTATAGGGAATTGTCACAAGTCAGAGGAATCCCTATCAACCAACCAGTACGATGGAATGACTCGGGGATTTTGAACACTGCTCAATGTGTTCCATACTCCCCAGATATCTTGGTCCTTGCTTCTAGCACGATCCAAGGATCGCTTGGTACAGGATCCCTTGGACCAGCACGTGTTGAGTAGCTGGGACAGCTGCAACTTGGCGCTGTCTTGGAGAGGTAAGGGTGGGTGATGGCAATGTCTGTGAGTTTATGGTTTGCTAATTATGGAATGTTATGGAGGTTTATTGTCTGTATATATATATATGTATAATATGCCATCATATGTGGGAAAGAATGGGGGCCAGAAAAAATGCACGTTACATTTTGGAAGGTGCCATGTTAGTCCAATAGGGGATTGCTTTAAATGTCACCTTTGAAAATGTAATTTACATTTTCCGAAAAATGTAAGTTCCATTTAGGCAGCACCACCCCATTTGTTGGGGGAGCCTCACCAATGTAACAGTACATTTTCTGGGAAAAACACATGAACTATTACATTTTCTAGGTCCCTACCCCCAAAAAATGTCAGTTACATTTTCCAGAGGTCCCGCCCCATTAATTTGGTAGGATTATATAACTACCCAAAATGGGATGAAATTGGAGTAAACCATGAAAACTTGGATAAAACGGAGGTTTTAGCAAACATACTAGTGGCATTGTGGGATATAGAGGAGGTATAGTGGGGAATAGAATCCCAACTTTTGAGGCATAACCTTTGGCTTCGCCCCATCAATAAAAATCAGCTGTGGAATCCGAAGATTGCCACATCCGATCCTCAACTGCAGCGCGGCATCAGTGTGAAAGTGATTGAGATACACGGGAAAATACAGTAATTGGACAGGTGGTGTGAATATGCATGTCTGAATCATGACTTTATCGCCATGTAAACGGGTTATGTAGCGCCATGTAAACGGGTTATGTAGCGGTTAACCGGTGATTTGGGTGCGCCATTTTTTCGGACAAACCGATTTGGGTTCCAGATGCAAATATTTACAGATGTTTGTGCAGATTGGGGGGTGTAATTGGTGCAACCATATGGCGATGACCCCCCATAGGTCGGGATAAGCCCCATCATCACGACATATCACGACCATATATGTACTTATCAAGTGGAACCCCGCGAGTTCTATACAAACTTCACCGGTGGGCCTATATGCCAGCTGAACATTGAAACATATCGAAACAGAATGGGAGGTGCAATGGTCAACGAACACATCTGGAAATCGGATTAAAATTGGGTCTCTGTGTATTCATCCCCTTTATTGTAGTTTTTTGCTGTAAATTTAAGAGAATTTATACGCAAACGGCAAAAAATACTTTTGGTGGACTGCCAACGAGTGACCATGAGTGTTGGATGATGACCAGATTCTGTGAAGGCTGGAGTGCCTCGAGTATTGACCCATCACGATGCAAAGTGTTTGATCAACTCACACTTTAGCATTTGTTATCATGATGATTAGAATCATTTGTTATAGTGCAAAACCACACTAATAATGTTGGACAATAATCATGATACACTAATAATCTTGCACATGTTTGCCATGATGATTTCTACTGTACTTATCACGTTCTCCCCATGGCCAAGGCGTCAGAGCTGTTCGCACCTGGCATGGCTGCTCAGCGGCGCACAGCGAGGAGGCACTTCACAAGGGTGGTGGATTACCAGTAATCATAAGTTATCCATGTTTTTTTGGAGCAATCCTCAGGCTTTGGGTGGTAGGGTAGAAGGTCTGGATTTAGAGGAAAAAGGTATTGGTCCAAACGTTTTGAACATTCCCCAAAGGCGCCACTTAGTGGGAAAAACGATGACAATATATGACAATCAATCCATTGGAATTAGGGGTGGTGTGCCCCATGTTCCCAATGTTCAATTCACTGTTGAAGGCATGCTTTATCTTCAGTACTATCGGTCACTTCCGCGTTGGTGTGTAGGAGGCCTGAAGATCCTCTTTCAGTCTCCAGAACCGGATCTTCAAAACCAATGGCGGGCCGTTTGGTTTTTGTTGTTCATTTCTCAATTTCGGCAACACTCTGCTTTCACAAAGCTCATGGGAGCAAAGTATGACGGCATCTTAAAGTTCAACTTGTTGCGATTTCCAAAGTCAAATCATTGAGATATGCCTAGTATGCCCAATGGTGGCCTTGCAAACTACTGCGTATACCTAAATCACATGTGTACTCATGGGGGCCAAACGTTGGCCAAACTGTTTGGTAAGTGATGCTTTCAGATCTATATCTATATAACGTAGATATCCTATATCCTTTAAAACATATCAATAGGCATATTTGTTTGCACATGCAAACTCACATGCACCCCTTGTATTGCGCGTAGGTGTCGGCCGTTTTTCACTTTCATGGCCCCAAACATCTCCTTTTCCCAGTATTGGCTTGCGGATGTTGAAGGGAACTCTTCTTGAAATCCCATAGTTGATGGTAAAAACCAGTTTAACAAAACCCAGGGCTTCCTGCAATTCCTTTAGCCCAACCGTGACTTTTCCATCTCACCCTGCAGGGCCGCCACTCTCTCGAGACATCAGATCCCCCGTGGCTGGTGCTGGCCATCGACTGTCACGCCGTCGGCGTGGCGTTGATGGGCCGCAGCCGGTCTCCCGGCGCTGCGTGGCAAGCGGTGACGGCGACGGGAGGGCCGTGCGGCTTGGATGGAGACTGGTGATGTAACATGGCAATGGGATGCAAATCTGGCATTACACGCGATTTTTGTTGAGGAGAATTTTGGATCGCCTATAGATGAGGTGTTTTCTTTTGCCAGGGTGCATTGACAGAGGGCAACACTACAACACTATTTTAGTTTTACCGCCTGAGGCTTGAGGATAATAACAACCCTGAATGAATGTCTTCATTAGCTGATTTTGTTATATACTTGGGGGCGCCCCCAGCAAATGACACTAAATGGTTTCAGTTGCTATCAAGTGGATACCCCAGTCACATTAGTTGGGGGTTGATCTGTGCAGGGTTGCCACCCTCTGAGATGGGGAAAGGGAAGACTTGGACAAGATGTTTACAAGTCTGCTGTAGGGAAGTAAGCATATCAGTTAAAATCCATTGACATGTTGGTTTTTGATAAGGGAAAATATGGAGAAAGGCAACGGGGCTGTATGATAAACATTTTCTGCTAATCCCAGACAGTGAAGTGATTATTTGGAGAAGGCACCCTGCATCTCTTTTGGAGGGGCCCATCAGCTGGGAATTAAAATTTAGGGTCGAGCCAAGCGAAGTCCACTGACAGGAAAACTTGGATTCACAATCATTTCGTATCTGTGGATGAGCACGTGCATGTATAAATTTAAACGCGATTTACATTTGTATGTAAATATACACGCACACGCGCACACACATAATATTATGCATACAGTATTAAATGTTTAACATATGCATATATCAACATATATCGATATATGCGCATAGGAACCACCAAGAGATAGAGAAACAATTCGGTTTGAGTCGGACTTTACTTGTCTGCACCAGCGTCAATCTGCCGCGTGGCTGCAAGGGTGGAAGGCCCGCTCATCTACCCTGGAGAAGATGGAGAGAGAGATGCTATGGACTGCCAGCGGCTGGCAGCAAGTCATGGCACCTCGTAGGAAATGGGGACCGACATGTTGATTTTTTCTGCAGTGGGGATGACAGTTGAATTTCTATGGGTATAGGTATAACCATGTACCTATATGTATAAAACTTAGCCGTTGGATTTTAACCCCTACACTTGGGACCAAATCCACTTCTAAGTGGAACCGCCCAAGGATCAACTTGTTCCAGCAGCTGTTGAAGATCTCGGGAGCTGTTTGTTTAAACAAAGAGCCGTCTCGAAAAGGGTGCCAGCGAACATGTCTTTTAAACTCCTCATGGGCCTTGGACGGTGAAGATATCCCTCTGAAATTGGATTTAATTGGACGATTTATATAACCGCAAGGTTTCACAACTTCGGCCATTTGATGATGCAGTGGAGAAAACATCTCCAGGGTCCAGTCCATGGGTCCGCCAAAGCATGCAGGGGCATTGTTGGGATCTTGCTGGCTCCCTAATTATTTGGGTGGCACATCATGTAAACCAAGGTGAATGACTTGAAGCTGGATCTGGATCACAAGAAATGCGCATTCTTGCGACCCAGCTTCGAAGACCGAGAGAGGATTTATGGACTTTAAAACTGGCTCCACTAGGAATCCCCAACATGAGTCTCCGGAACTTGGTTTTAACAAGTTTCCCTAAGTTTCCTAGTGCAAATCCATAAATCTTACATTTCTTCTTGCTTAATTTCAGAGGATAGAGGTTGCCCTGGCACGGTCACAGCCACGGAACCCAGGATCTTGGAGCCAGTCATGGGCGTCGCCAGTGCCACGCGCCGGAAAGAGATTTCGAAGTCGCTCAACGAGCTGGGAAGCTTGGAGCAGGGACGGGTGTTTTGAATTTTGCGGTGTATCAGCCAACAGCAATGAGAAAATTAATGATCAAACATGATCAAACATTATATTGTATGTAGACAAGTTCACGCATGACTGATGTATGTGTATGTATATATATATATATATATATGTATATATATATACACACTATATATATACATATATATGTATATATATACATATATATGTATATATATATACACATATATATATATACATATATATATATATACATGCATATCTCTGTATATATATATATAATGTATATGTCGCAGTACCATATAGACACAGTAACCACAGAGTACCTGGAAGGAACACCCGAGCAGGCTTACTAACCATAGAGGGGGCACAATGTGCCTTCTTGCCTTCGGCCTGATGTTTGAGAGCGTAGGTACGGCTGCCCAACCTGACGCAACTGCGTATGACAAACACAGTTGAAGCGACGCAACAGACATGTCCGATGTTTTGAACCCCCCAACAAATTGACCGAATCAGTTTTGTGAGAACTCAATTTGATGGATACCTATTACCTATTATTGGAATTGATTGGATAGGTTCGCCTTAGGGCCTTCAAAGAAACAGTTGGATTCTTGTGATCGGGACAGGATCACCATCTTATTTTTGTAGGGTCCATCCTGTGTCCACAGGATGAAATGCTGGGGTGAGGTTCCAGCCCCAACCGGCGTTGGCCTTAGGAGTCGCAGCCATCGGATTTGCATCCTCGTTGACGATGCTCGCGGCAGGCATCCCCACCACCACATGGGAGAGGTGGTGTCTAGGCCATTACAGTTGCATGGGAAATATAACGGCTTTCAGGGTCCCAATATGGCCCAGTGAACATCTGGACCACAATCATGAATGAACGTCCATATGGACGCATCATGTAAATATAAATTGTGTTGTGTGTGAATATCGTTGTTTTCATTCACTCACTCGCACAAAAGGGGGTTCTGCAGCTTCTCGCCATGTTTCAAATGAGTTGCTCATGAATTTTCTAGGTGCACAAATTAAACCCGCTGAGCACTTAAGTGTTGCCCTCACAGGGCCAGGGTGTCAATTCAGTTGCAGAAACGCCAGCCGGCCCCTCTATGCAGGTGCAGGCGCAGGCGCACGGGCAGGGCCTCCAGGGCCACTTGGCCGGGAAGATCATAGAAATCATAGAATCATCCAACCGTCTTTGGTGCAAGCGCAAAGTGACCCCGTCCCCGGGTTTGAAAATAGAAGTGAAGCACTTCAATATATGGGTTTCAATATAGTTTAACAAGAAATGTGACGTATTTATGTATACATATATATATAAATATGTAACATGTGATTTGAAATATTCACAAACTTGGGTGGGGCCAAAATAAATCAAAGACTCGAAACCAGGATTCTCAGCTGGAAGAAGATTAACAATGCGATCATAGATGGTTGGTGTTTTTTAATGGAATTCTTTATACAAGCCGGCTTGGGACGAAGCTAGTCACCCGTTTTCTATGTTATATACATTCAGGTGTTTCTTTGTCATTCTTTGTCCATGTTTCTTGTGTTTGATGACCCAAGCCATCTGTGAAGAGCCGCCCTGCAAAGCTCATGTCAAACGTGGTCTCGCAACTGCCGAGGAGAAGTGGGATGTGCATCGATGCTGGCCCCAATTCTGCAATCTTTGCGCCAGTTTTTGAGGCACGGGACACGGTGTGTAGAGAGGATGCTTTGCCATGCTCTGCCGCTGCCATTGATGCATCTGAATGCAGTGTCAGAGTGAAGGGCAAGGCTTCCGTTTGCTGTCATTCTGCGCCATGCTGGTTTGGGTTTCTTTTACGTGATCTTACATGATCTTACTCTGTTGCCGAAGTTGATTGCATGGAAGCTCCAGCATGGCTGGATGTGATACAGGCAATGAGTCACGCCCACAACGAGTCAGACATGATTGCCACCCAAAATGGTGTTGTAGTATAAAACACCCATGAGTTGGAATATAACCCCTACAACTATCTATAACTATGGTTATTTGGTTTCTATAACTTGTACAGACCTGTGAGTGAGATGTTGCTGAGCAGACACGGGTTCCCTCCGCAGCCCTTGTATTGCCACAAATGTGGGTACAAAACATGTAGGCAGTCGCATTGATATTGTACTCCGGGAAATTCCATGCGCAGGGCTTTTCCTTACTGTACTTGTACCATGCTAAGATGTAGAAGCGGGTGTGCTGGTTTCAGTTGTGTCTTTTCCATTCATACTTACTGAGATGGTTGTGCCCCTACTTGGGCTGTATTTTTTGGCGTCCAGTGCTCAACCAACCAGGCCAAAAGGGGTGGAGCACCCATCGAGTGGATGGTTGCTGAGTGTAACTGCCAGTGCTGCTGGCCATTTACATGCCCAGTTTTTTTTGGTGGTGAAATTCGTGTAAAACCACAATTCATAATTCTTTGCTTCTGAAATCAACATTGACTCCAAGTAGTTCCCACTTCAAACTCCTCATGTTCAGTCAACCCCCTCCCCATTTTTCACAAATCAATCGAATTTCTCCTGGTCGTATATCCCCATGCTATCCCGATGTCGCTCCCTTGGTACTCGATCCTGACCGGTTTTCAAACATCCAGCCATTGCTGGATTCAGCCACTTCATGGTTTGTGCCATAGGGCTTTTTGCTGACTGATGCCATGATCCAAATAGATCTGGCTGCTGGCACAGCTGGAGAGGAGGCCGCCAGACCCAGATGATCCGGGATCCCCTACAAGACCCGCCACTGAAGCAGGATTTCTGATGTTTGTAATTTGTAAGCATGGGGAAGGGACCTGCCTTCTTCAGATCTGCGTTTATTGTTTCAAGGTTTGGAGGTTGGAAGATCACTCTCCTAGTTGAAATCACCATGTTGGGGCGATCGCAAAGTAACCCAGAAACTGGACATCCCCATTTCAGAACATTGTCCGGGTATTTGAAGCCCATGATGCAGCCTCTAGATGCTCTAGGTAGTTGTCCGGTGGGGATTTTTAGGCCAGGTTCTCATTCAGGGAACCCTTGCCATCGAAGTATTGAAGGGAATCCCTGTATAATAGAGCTGAAAGTGGACTTTGAAGTTGATCATTAGGTAGTGCCGTATAATTACAAAAGAAAAACGATGTTGGCTCAGGTTGGCTGGCGGACTGGTAATTGATGGTATTGGGATGTAGTGGGTACATGGTTGGAAACCTTAACAAAACATCGCTTCTGAAGGGAACGCAAAATTCATACAGCTATACGGGGCCAGAACCCAAGAATTAAAACATGTGTCGATCGTAGATATGAGTTTGCAACAAAAATCGGCGCCTGCCTATCACCCCCAGGGAATTCCTGCGGAGCCTTTTGAAAGTGAGCCACTGGGGCAGGCATTGGCAAGGACCCTTGAACAGAGCCTGGCACGATGCCCCATCGATGCACGACGTCGTGTTCGAAGGCAGCCACATGGCGATGGGCTCATAGTGAACGGAGGGCGCATTAGTTTTTCAAGCTTAAAGCCTACATAATCGTCTTTGGTGTGTTATGTGCTCGCTTCTACTGTACTGTACTTGTAGTAACTGCAGGCAAGTCGCATTTCTTGGCCACCATGTTTCGCAAAAACCATTAAAGTTCCTTCACCCCCCCAAACGTCAACTCAGGCACCAGTGAAGCCCAAAACAATAGATAGCAGATGGTGGTATAAAAATCGTTAAAAATCCGGGAATGAGTCAGGTATATTTCAGTGGTATGGGATGGAATTGGCATGGTGGCCAGTTGAATCAGGAAAATGGTGATGAATCATTGGTTGTGGGGGTATCCCATGCTTGGACAAACCTAAATATGTGAGAAGGTTCTCTTGAGTGGCACTACCTGTGTTTCACCCCATGAGGAAGGATGAGTCCACATCATGTTCAAGGAAGGTTGGAACCACAGCAGCACCATATGATTAAGTTACGTAAAATGAACATAATAGTACAGTAGAAATCACCATCAAGGTATTCCTCATCACACCAGACCATGTTTGAGGTTTCTCCAAACCACCTGAGCAGCAATTTCTTTTCACATGAAAGGATTTCTACATACGACACTTGAACTTTGTTTTGCCCCGCGTAGCTATGCAGTGTAGGCTTTGCGTGGGAGTATCGCAGGCGAACAATAGAATAACCAATTTGTCTACATATTTATGATGTTATAATCTATTTGTTGCAAATACACCAAGTACATCAAGTTATGAGTTTGTGCGTTTTTTGGAGGCGTATTGGCACGAGCAGAGAGACAGGAATTGCAGCAAGCGAAGCAAGTGCATGTCAAAGTGTCACGTAGTTTGCGGCTTGTCTCTTTGCATGTTGCATTCCTATTCGAGACTATGACCTGGACTTTACACATATTTTTGAGGCTGCTGAAGAACAGCAAATTGCCCGACTGGTGGGAGTGAAGGATGCTATATATTGATTCTGATGTTTTATAAATATAAATATATACATATATATACAGTATATGTATGTATTTGTGTGTCTTCAAAGCCCTAGGCCTCAAAGGTGGGGATCTCAAACATAGGTCAAGTTTGGAACGCTCCCAGAGAAAGAGGCTGCCTTTTCTCCTGGATGCCATGGCAGGAACATCATGGTGTACGGGGAAGACTCCCGGAATCCACGCTGGCAGCGCCTGGGTGAAGGACCCACGGGTGTGGATTCATCAAAGTACACCTAGATTGTACCATAGTACTTGCTGCGACAGATGGAATGGGAATGTGCTACTGTACACCACGGTTTCCATTTTCCAAAAGCGGCTTGCTGTTTTGGGGTGAGTGTTCTGACACTGGAAAGACCGCAACTTAAGCCTGAATGGAAACAAATGCGGCCACGGGAGCCACAGCAAACCGATAGTAATTACCGCCGATTCCTGTATAAGTTAGATTCGCTGATGTACTGCATTGCATTTCATATGCAGGTTCCTTGCCGTGTACGCTGTCTGTTGCGCGGTGTATATTTTGATGGCAAAAAACATAAGCGACAAAGTCTGTTTCGAGATGGCTATATGTGCCTTCTATGTCTATGCCATACCTAAATAGGTATTGATATGCTCCCATCTATCTCGTGTGTTCCATGCCTTGTTTTTGGGCACGCATACGCACATACACGACACCATTGCATACAGTATATACATGCATAATCACCCACCCCTGTAAAAAGTACAAGAGAGGGGGGGGGGTACGCTCCCAAAAATGTACTTTTTACGTGTTTCTTCCTAGAGTTCCCCAGGGAAAAATTTTATACACCACGTAACGTTCGCGGGGGGGGTCTAAGATGGATGGGGTGGACAAAGGCAGTTCGAACTCCCCCCCCCCTAGTTTGATACATTTTGCACATGTTTTGGAATTCCTGGGGTTCCTAGGGGTTTTAAACCCCTGAGCCTTTAAACTTTTTACGTACGTGTTGGACAACCATTCTGTGGGCATCCCCAGGATTCCTCAGTGTTCCATGAACCCTGAGGTTTATACATTTTACGTGCGTGTGTCTATTTTTCGATATTCATAAGTCAGCTGGAATTCACTGCCCCCCTAGTTTTATACTTTTCGTGTTTTTTCTAGACACCCAAGTTGCTGAACTGAAAAAAAACATGATTGATTTGCCGGCCGCCGTTTTTCCGAAAGCCTTTTTTGGCCACACCCCTCGCTTGTTGAGCCGAAAGAGCCGATCAGCATAAAGAATACAGGGTCTAAGACATACAAAACCAGAGCGCACAGAAAAAAACAAACTCGGAAAACACAAAATAATCAAAACTTGTCAAACTCCAGGTTTTGATTGATGTTGTTTGCCGTTTTTGTGTTTTTTTGTTTTTGTTGTTTTATATGGTGAATCTTGCGGGTTGCTTTTGGCGATTCTGTGTTTTGATTGTGTTTTTGTTTTTTGTTTTGTTCTTCATTTTTGCTGGAATCAACTTTCTCTGTTGAAGCCGGTGACACACTACAAGGGCAAATGAACGGAATTTTGCGTATCCAACCAAATCCAACCAGGACCACATATTTTCGAAATGTATTCTAAGGAGGGGTGAGCCTGTCCCCCCCCCCTTTCATACATTTTCGAACTTTCTTTTTCTCTTGACCCAAACAAATATGTAAGGTAGTATTTGTTTGTATACAAGGACATACAAAAGGATTTGATTGGATTTTGTGTGTATCCAACCATATCCAACCATATCCAGCCATGTCTAAAGTCTAATCTAAAGTCTAACCATATCGAACCCAGAAATTCAGAAAATGTATTCTAAGGAGGGGTGGGCCTGTCCCCCCTTCCTTTCATACATTTTTGACTCTTCTTTTTCTTTCGAGCCGAAAATGACTGTAAGGAGTTTGTTTTGAACCTTTTTGTATACCAGGCTTTTGAGCCGAACAGCATAAAGAATATAGCGGTTTAAAAAATACAATACCAGAGCACACAGAAAGAAAACAAACTAGCAAAACACAAGATAATCAAAACTTGTCAGACTCCAGGTTTTGTTTGTTTTTTTTGTGGCTTTTGTTTTTTGTTTTTGTTGTTTTTTCTGGTGAATCTTGTCGGGTTGTTTTTGGCGATTCTGTGTTTTGATTGTGTGTCTGTTTTTTATGTTTTTCAATTTTTGCTGGAATCAACTTTCTCTGTTGAAACCGGTGTCACACTACAAGGGCAATTGAACGGAATTTTGCGTATCCAACCGAATCTAACCAGGACCACATATTTTCGAAATGTATTCTAAGGAGGGGTGAGCCTGTCCCCCCCCCCCCTTTCATACATTTTCGAACTTTCTTTTTCTCTTGACCCAAACAAATATGTAAGGTAGTATTTGTTTGTATACAAGGACATACAAAAGGATTTGATTGGATTTTGTGTGTATCCAACCATATCCAACCATATCCAACCATGTCTAAAGTCTAAAAACATATCGAACCCAGAAACTCAGAAAATGTATTCTAAGGAGGGGTGGGCCTGTCCCCCCTTCCGTTCATACATTTTTGGCCAAAAATGACTGTAAGGAGTTTGTTTTGAACCTTTTTGTATACCAGGCTTTTGAGCCGAACAGCATAAAGAATATAATATAGGGGTTAAAAAAATACAATACCAGAGCACAGAGAAAGAAAACAAACTAGCAAAACACAAGATAATCAAAACTTGTCAGACTCCAGGTTTTGTTTGTTTTTTTTTTGTGGCTTTTGTTTTTTGTTTTTGTTGTTTTTTCTGGTGAATCTTGTCGGGTTGTTTTTGGCGATTCTGTGTTTTGATTGTGTGTCTGTTTTTTATGTTTTTCATTTTTTGCTGGAATCAACTTTCTCTGTTGAAGCCGGTGGCAGACTACAAGGGCAAATGAACGGAAGTCTGTGTGTATCCAACCAGATCTAACCAGGACCACATCTAATCATAATTAACCCAGAAATGTATTCCAAGAAGGGGTGAGCCTGTCCCCATCCCCCTTTCATACCTTTTCGAACTTTCTTTTTCTCTTGATCCAAAAACATGTGTAAGGTAGTATTTGTTTGTACACAAGGAAATACAAAGGGATTTGATTGGATTTTGTGTGTATCCAACCATATCCAACCATATCCAGCCATGTCTAAAGTCTAATCTAAAGTCTAACCATATCGAACCCAGAAATTCAGAAAATGTATTCTAAGGAGGGGTGGGCCTGTCCCCCCTTCCTTTCATACATTTTTGACTCTTCTTTTTCTCTCGAGCCAAAAATGACTGTAAGGAGTTTGTTTTGAACCTTTTTGTATACCAGGCTTTTGAGCCGAACAGCATAAAGAATATAGGGGTTTAAAAAATACAAAACCAGAGCACACAGAAAAAAAAACAAACTAGGAAAACACAAAATAATGAAGACTTGTCAAACTCCAGGTTTTGATGGTTTTCTTTTGGTGTTTTTGTTTTTTGCTTTTGTTGTTTTTTCTGGTGACTCTTCATTCATACATTTTTGGCATCGTCAGAGCACTTATTTTCTATGAGGTCGGTCTTGTTTGCTACACAAGGACGTAAAAGGATTCTATTGGATCTTGTTCTTTTTTTGATGTGTGTGTGTCAAACCAAATCAAACCTTATCTAACCATATCCGACTATCACATTGCAGCCCTCAAATCGTTTTTGACATTATATAGAAGTATTTTATTAGAAGTATTTTGTTCTTTCAGAGATTTCCATGTAAGTTGATAACATCATCATATCTTACTATCACTTAGAAACCGAGGCCTCGATAGACCTGTGCAGGGTATGCAGCTCAACTAATCTCAATTTGTACCGTGACAACAGCTGGAGAGAAAAGCAGCAGATTTTGATGGAAGTCGTCATGTCTGAAAAGTCGTTCGCATGATTTCTGCTTGAAGAAAATCAACGGTGTCCCCCCTAGGTTTCATACATTTTAAGGTATCAGTCCCTCCCGCCAAAACAACACCCTCCCCCCCTACTTTCATACATTATAGAAAAATGAATAAGAGATGGCTGGGGCATCTACCCCCTAGGTTTCATACATTATTGAGTTAATGTATGAAGGCCATGGGGGAACACCGTTCCCCCATGGGCTTCATACTTTTCACATGCAATATGTAAATTGACTTTTTCAAATCGACGGTGTCCCCCCCTATGTTCATACATTACAAAAAATGTATGAAGGGGAGGGGGGGTGTACAAAACCCCTGGGGAGGGTGATCATGCATATACTACATACATGATATACACGGTACACATTACATACATACATTGCATTGCATTGCGTTACATACATGTCATAAATACTTACATCACACTACATACATGTACCTATACATTGCATTTCATAAATACGTACAGATACATACACATATACACACATGAATAAATAAAGACCTACCTATCTACCTACCTACCTACATATATACATACATAGACATAGACACATATACATACACACTCAAAGTAAAGGACCGGACAACCCCACAAGTCAACTTCTTCCAATAACAACAAACAGTGGTTGAAGCTGTACTGGGAAGGCGGGGAAGACAAAGGAGATGGTGGAGGACCGATAGTTGTAAAGAGTTGTGCGTGAAAGTGCTATGTGTGAAAGAGTTGCGCAAAAGTTGACGAAGGTGCGTGTAAAAAAGTTGCGTGCGAAAGTGCTGCATGTGGAATCATGTGGAAGGGAAAGAGTTTTGCGTTCAAGAGCAGTCAGTGGATGAGTTGTGTGTGAAAGATGTGTCATGAGGAAGAGATGTGAGTGCGTGTGTGTGTGTGAAAGAGATGTATGTCGAAGAAGTGTCTGTGAAAGGGCAAGGCAGAAATGTACGTAGAAGAGCCCTGTGCGACAGAAAAGGTGTGTGTGTGTGTGGGATGAGTAAGGGTGCGCCAAGACCATAGGAGCAGGTTCTTGGCAAAATTCCGTTTTGGCAGCAGGAGCAATGTCGACAGACAGACTGTGCAAATCGTCATGGAAACCGACGGTCTGCAACAGATACCCGGCGGCTGCAGAAGGTTGCTTCTTCCGTTGCGTCTAAGCAACCATCTATAGGACGTTGCGACAGCCACAGAGAAGTTCGGAGAAGTACCTGGCGGCAAAGCAACAATGTAATTATGCAATATATGACATTCATTCACAGTCAAAGACAAATGCGGTAACAAAGTTGCATGCAAGTGAGATACAATGACCTCAGAAAAATATGCAAGTTTGACCATG